ATTTATGTGTTTGCGTGACCAAAAATAGTAATAAAAAACAAAAGACAAAAGTTATGATATAAAAGGAATTAAAACTGTTATTTTTTGTATTTATTTCCGTTTCACTTCAATTAATTTTCATTGCTAATTATATAATATCTTAATTTATTATAATTATTCCACAAAATACGTTAAATAACACATTCTGCACTATTTATTCATTCATTCATTTTCCTTTGGCTTAGTCCCTTTATTCATCTAGGGTCGCCACAGCGGAATGAACTGCTAAATATTCCAGCATATGTTTTACACAGAGGATGCCCTTCCATCTGCAACCCAGTTCTGGGAAACATCCATACACATTCACATCATACACTATGGCCAATTTCATTCGTTCACTGATTTTCTTTTTGGCTTAGTCCCTTTTTTAATCCGTGGTCGAACAGCGGATTGAACCGCCAACTTATCCAGCATATGTTTTTATGCAGCGGATGCCCTTCCAGCTGCAACCCATCACTTGGAAACACCCTTACTTGCTCATTTACACATACACTATGGCCAATTTAATTTATTCAACTCGCATGTGTTTGGACTGTGGGGGAAACTGGGACTCGAACCAGTGACCTTCTTGCTGTGAGGTGACAGTGCTAACCACTGAGCCACAGTGCTGCCCCCATTATTATTATTGTTTATAATAGGCCTTTATAGAATGAAACAAGTATTTACATAGGCTTACATCAGTGGTTCCCAAAAGGCGCGGGGGGGTTGCTTGGTGATTACCAAACATCTTATATGTAATGTAATGTGTATTTATATATAGTGCATTTATCGTGAATGAGTCTCTCCACACCACCACCAACGTGCAGCATCCACCTGGATGATGCGACGGCAGCCACAGAACAACGGCGCCAGTGCACTCACCACACACCAGCTATAGGGGGAGTGGAGAGACAGTGATAGAGCCAATTCGGTGGAAGGGGATGATTGGGAGGCCATGATGGTTAAGGGCCGAGAGGAAATTCGGTCAGGACGCCAGGGTTACACCCCTACTCTTTACAAGAAGTGCCATGGGATTTTTAACAACCACAGAGGATCAAGACCTCAGTTAAACGTCTCACTCAAAAGACGGCGCTCACTGACAGTATCCGCTTGTTAAGTGTGACGTCACGCGGAGTGGCTTCCGGGTCCAAGCGCTCTATTCAACTGAATTGGGAGACTCATGAAATGGTAATAATAAACGTTTACAAAGCCATTTAATCCTTTCGAAAATTCAATTCAATTTTTTTCAATTCAACTTTATTTGTATAGCGCTTTTACAATGTAGATCAGTAGTTCTCAAACTTTTTTCATCAAGTACCACCTCAATTGTCTCTCCAAGTACCACCAAAATGAGCAGTATTGAAATATAATAGCGTAGTAGGCCCAGTAAAGCAGCTACAACTCTGCACAGTTAAAAAAACGTGGCAGATTACCTTAGAAATATGGGCTTTATGTCATATATGGCATATTATATACATAATTTTTGATTAATTTTTAAATGTTTGTACCATGTACATGACATACATCATTCCTCCGCGTACCACTAGAAGGAAGCCTGCGTACCACTAGTGGTACACGTACCACAGTTTGAGAACCACTGATGTAGATTGTGTCAAAGCAGCTTCACATAAATGGTCATAGTAACTGGAACAGTGTGGTTCAGGTTTTAGTGTTTAAGTTCAGTTCAGTTTAGCTCAGTTCAGTGTGATTTAATCATTACTGAGAGTTCAAACACTGAAGAGCAAATTCATAGATGCGTAGCTCTACCAATCCTGAACCATGCAAGGAAAATCACGATCGCAATATATATGTCCATGCCTAATATCCGATGGCCAGAAAGTAATTCATTGTTTTATAAATTGTTAAAATTTTGGTATTAGTTATGCAGCAAGCCCAGAGATTGTTGTGTACACTATGACTTTATATAAAATTAACTTTAATGTGCGATATTAATAAAAAATGATCATAAACGAATGATTTCTCCACCTAAGTGAATGGCGGCTTGGACCTGGAAACAGTATTACATACGTCACAAACACGTCACCACTTAACAAGCGGATAGTGTCCCCTTTACTTTTACTGGGGCATTAGGACTCACACAGACTGCAGGTTGAGCGCCCCCTGCTGGCCTCACTAACACCACTTCCATATGTTATTAAACTCTTAGAATTACCATAAAAAGACAAAAACAGTATTTAATAAATACATAAAAAGCAACATACAAATAAAAAGCCAGTTAATATTAAAATAAACAAATGAATAATGACATTAAAAAATGATATGGTTGTTAGACTGTTGAACTTTTTTGTGTTGTTGTCATTATGCTTGTGTTTATGGTAGTTCCTATTGTTGTGTGTGCAATGTTTGCATGTTTATAACCACCTCCGAGGATAGTGGGGGCCGTCAGTCACTGGAATATTTATTTTGGGGGTTGCGAGCTGAAAAGTTGGGAACCCCATGGCCTACATAATCCATAGGCAAGGCAAGTTTATTTAGCGTTATATATCACATTTCATACACAATGGTGATTAAACGTGCTTTACTTAAACACAAATGAAAGAAACAAATATGAAAAATAAAAACAACCATCATTTATTCATTGATTTTCTTTTCGGCCTAGTCCCTTTATTAATCTGGGGTCGCCACAGTGGAATGAACCGCCAACTTATCCAGCATATGTTTTACGCAGCGGATGCCCTTCCAGCCACAACCTATCAGTGAGAAAAAAACATTCATCCATCCACACACTCATGAGGGAACCTGGAGGAAATCCACACCAACACGGGGAGAAGATGCAAACTCCACGCAGAAATGCCAACTGAACCAGCCAAGGCTCAAACCAGCGACCTTCTTGTTGTGAGTTGATTGTGCTAGCCACTGTGCCACCGCATCACCCATAAAAAACAAAGAATAACATTTATTAAATACATATTAAACCATGGGGCGACAGAGGGCATTTTACCTCTAAAGGCCTGTGCACACCGAGACGTTTTTTGCTCGCGTTTTCCGTCGACGTTTAACGTGTCGCGACTAAAGGCTGATTTATACTTCTGCGTCAAACACCGGCGTATGCTACGGCGCTGACGCATAGCCCATCGCCGTGGCCGTCGCCGTCACTGACGTGCACATCTCAAAAATTGTAACTACACGTCGCAACAACGCGTAGCGCAAGCTCTGTGATTGGTCGGCTTGCTAGCGCCGACGAGTCTGGGCGGGACCGAGAGCCGCGCGAATGGCGCGAGCGATTGTTTACAAGTGTGGAGTCCCGTGGAGGAGCTCCGGATGGAAATTTTTGTTCTGTGTTTACCTCATGGTTAAAGTTGTTGCACGTCCGCCGGTTCCTGCCTCAAAATGAGCGAGTTTGAGTCACTTGTACATCCAGGAAGTGTTCAGAATAGCAAAACAGAAGCGAAGAAACTCGACACAGAGGAATATTTACACCTCACTGCCCACTAGCGTTTCGGAAGTGTTAATGCAGACCAACGGAGACAGCGCGCAGAAGTATAAATGCACAGCCACGCGCGTTGCATGCGCCGTGATTTGCGCCGGTAACTTGACGCAGAAGTATAAACCAGGCTTAAATAACAGGCGTCAATGTGATCGTGCACACCAACGCGCAAAACGCCAGGCGCAAAAGCGTCATTTTAAAAAAACCGCCTCATGCTCGTTTTTTTGTTTTGACGCACGCCGTCAAAACCTTCTCCTCCAATCAGATTGGCACTTTTGTTCACGTGCACGGAGCTGCTGAAGTTACAGTAAAATAGCACTTGGAGGCGCTCAAGCGCAAAACGTCAATGCGAGCGCACATTGAAGAAGATGCCCAGAGGCGATATGAACGTGGAGCTGCTTACTGCTCTTGTGAACACTAATCATTTCTTTATCGCTAGAGCTGGAGCTGCTGCTTGAATAATCCATGCTTGTTCAAGTCACCAGTAACTTTATTAACAATCGTGTAAACTTCCTCTCCTCCTCTTCTTCTGTATTATAAGCGGGTGCCAGAGGCTTAAAGTTGTGCAGCGCCATCTAACATCAAAAGAGTGATTTTGCATACTCTTCAGCTTGACGCCAGCGAAAAGCACTTGGGTTTGAGTACGGAAAAACATCTCGTAAAACGTTGACGATAAACGCAAACGAAAAGCGTCTCGGTGTGTAGGAGCCTTTAGATGTATTAGTGTAAACGGGGCCTAAGTGTGTATTTTTTGCGAGCGGGTTTGCGACGGGGGCGGGGCGAAGGATGGGCGATGCCGGCTCAGCATCGTGTTGTCTTTTGGCCATCGGCGATCGGCCAAACCCTAGTGAACAGTAAAATTAAAGTTTTCTGTTTTAGGATTTTCGATTTTGGCATCCTACCACAAAACACGACATGTTTGTTTGCTATTGCAAAACATAATTTCACTTATTGCTTTTTTCCAGTTGATGTCATGTGTGACGTAGGTTGGTAATTCCCCTATTAACGCATTCCTTCCAATAGACACCAATAATTAGCGTTGGCGACATCTAATGTAAATATCTATGAGTATTCAATAGCAACTTTACAAACTATTACAGTCAAAATCAGATGTTCAGTGCAGTGGCTAACTTCTGGAAAAACCAACGCTCTAGATGATGATTATTTATTTATTTTTATGTGTTAGAAATGTTATAAGGCCTTCATAGAACGAGACAAATATTTACATACATAACCCATACCTAATATATAATAATAATAAACGAGAAATGTCAGTTATCTTCACATAATCAGTTTTATCCACTGAGTTTTCTCAGTATGTGTTGTATATATGAGCATTTGAGCTGCATTTGAGATTTCCAAACCTGATTCTTCTCACTCGAGCTGTCGAGCGCCTCCTGGCAACGGTCGCTATGGTGACTGCCGACGTCACGCACGACTTCGGTTGCCATGGCCCTCGTGACGTTAGCGACCGTGTCAAACAGTGTAGGAAACCCCGCGCGGCGGTCGCCATGGATACTGGCGGGGGGGAGGGGTGGAGTTTAGAGGAAGCGGAAGTGTCAGCGCAAGCGGAAGTGGTACTGCCCTGAATACCCCGAGCAGCGAAACGGAGGACAGCTTGATACTCCCATCGTTAACAGACACAAATCAGGACTCGAAATATATTCCAATGTGAGTTACACTACCCGCGAAGGCCGCTCGTGTGATAGTATGAATATTAGGGGTGTGTTTTGCTGTATTGTTGCTCATGTAAGCCCCCCTCATCATTGTCAATGGCGGAAGGTGTCTATTGTGGTTTGGGGCTGGGTACAAGGACTTAGGCCGAGGCGGGCGATGAGTAGCGATTATTGCCGAATTATTCCCGATTACATCCGATTTCTGTTTGAACCGCGCTGTTCTTTGTGTAAGCGCGTTATCAAGCGAGCATCGCGCCAAACAACCCTCTCCCCGTGCGGGAGCAACGGCCAGCGGCGTCCCGCGTCTATTCAGCGCCTGCCCGTCGCGAAAGCTAACCGGCTAACCAGTCGATAGACAAATTAACCAGACGAGTAAATCATGTACGTCGGCATCAGTAACGGACTAATTTAATTTGTCTCAAACAATCGACTCGCCTGATTAAATTCCACTAGGGAATGTGAGTGAGAGGGCGTTGCATTGGTGGCTAAAACTGCTAGCTCGAGCCTCGAATATGCTGCAGTGCAGTGTTAGCCGGGCTAGCCGATTAAAACGTGCTAAATTAATAGATTATCAATGCCTAAATGCGTTTGAGTTAATTTTATCATGTAACACCAACGATTGGGGTTAAATAAAATCGCGAAATGATCGCTTCGGAGGATGGCGGACTTGTCGTCAGGACGCGTCGTGAGGGCCTATGTAAATAAATTTAGCCCGACACCAGATTATGTCATCCGCTAACTGATCAAACTACGCGTTATAACGGGCACTCCAAACATTTCTCGGTCATGTTAAGCAACCACCCATCACGTTTGCGGTTGTGAATTGGCCTCCAGGAGCAGGACGGGCTGTGTTTACTCGCCTGACACCGTTACCTGTGGTTCGGGTTCAGGACTCGCCCTGGGCGTTGGCACTTCCACTTGTATCGATAGCTGACAGGGTTGAAATTCCCACATTGGCCTTTTAGATTCACGGATCCTGAATGTATTTAATGACCTTGCATCAAAGGAGACAGGGAATTGTGCTGTTATGCAGAAGTCAGATACCTGGAGTTTAGGGTGTTTGATTTAGACTTTGATCAAGATATGCAGAGGCTGGTAAGCTAGTGGGAGTTTTAGGAATTATTATTATTAATTGAGTTATATTTCAGAATATCTGAAACCACTGCATCATTGTGCACTAGGAGCTAAAATTGAGGTGAAGCTGGTTTTATATTCAATCAGTTACAACTTGTGACATGCCTATCTATATTGTACTTTGAATATTTAGTCTAAAATCGCATGCAAGGAAGACTTCAAAACAACATTGGCACTATTTATTTGTTGGTGAACAATGTTGTACTTTGGTTGTTGTCTCCTAATATGATTTCACTTTAGAATTAGCTTAAAATGCATTCCTGTAATTAAATTAACAAGGAGAAGGTCTGAATGTGTGAATATTTTGCAAATTTACCCCAATGGTGCTAAAATATGATCTGACAATGTTATTGTGTGCAAGGAACACTCAAGATAAACCAAATGTTTACTATTGGACAAGTAATTAGCATTTGGTTCCTGATCTGTGAGTACACCTGGTGAATTATGCATGACTTCTTTTGGAAAAACACTGCAATTGAAGTCATCTCGATTAAATCTAATAATCATGACAGTCTAAGGAAAATGTTTTTTCCATTTAATGTATAGAAAATTGTGCATTTTACCAAATGGTCAGATTTCATTACTTTTAGTTATAGCCAAGAGATGATTCTCATCGGTGAAGAATCTTGTGTAGTGGAATCCAAAGACAAAACGAACATAAAGGATAAATAAATAAAAATGCTCTTATTTTGCATTGTTGTGGGATCAGAAGTAATTCTGCGTATGTGCCACTTTTTATATTTATATTACATAATACATTCAATGCCAATATGTCAGAAAAGTCTTTGTTTAACCTGCCTGGTTTTAGGTGATCTGCTCATTTCTTCATATTATCAGTAAATGTTGCATCCTCAGTTGTTAAATTTAGCAAGGAAAACTATTAGACAAGTAATTAGCATTTAGTTCTTAATCTAGGAGTACACCAGATGTATTATGCATGACTTTTTAGAAAACCATTACAATTGAAGTCATCTCGATTAAATCTAAGAACCACGATTAATAATCATGACAGGCTAAGAATTATTTTCTGTTTGATGGATAGAATATGGTGCATAATGGCCAAAAGGACAGATTTGATTAGTTTTAGTTCTAGCAAAAAAAAAAAAAAAAAAAGCTTTATCGGTGGAGAATTGTGCAAGTGCCGTGGAATCCAAAGAGAAAGCTAACATAAAACATAATAAAAAATGCTCTATTTTGCATTGTTGTAAGATCAAAAGTAATTCTGCTAGTTAAAAGTGTGCCACTTTATTTAAATTACATAATACATTCAAAGCCAAAAAAAAAAAAAGTCTTTGTTTAACCTGTCTGGTTTCAGGTAATTCTCTCATATTTGTCCATACTGTTGGTAAATGTTACGTCCTCAGTTGTTGTTTTGTGCAAGGAACACTTGAGGTAAACCAGATGGTTATTATTGGACAAGTAATTAGCATTTAGTTCTTAATCTGTGAGTACACCAGGTGTATTATGCATGACTTTTTTTTAATTTTTTTTTTTAAGCAAACCATTACAATTAATGTCATCTCAATTAAATCCAATAACCATGATTAATAATCATGACAGGCTAAGAATGATTTTTCAAGTTGATAGATAGAAAATGGTGCATATTGGCCAAAAGGTCAGATTTGATTAGTTTTAGTTCTAGCAAAACAAAAGCCTCATTGGTTGAGAATCTTGCATGTGTTGTGGAATCCAAAGAGAAAGCTAATATAAAAGATCATGAATAAATAAAAATGCTCTATTATTTTACATTGTTGTGAGATCAGACGTAATTCTGCTTGTTTAAAGTGTGCCAATTTATAAATTTTGGATGAATTACATAACGCATTCAAAGCTAATGTCTTTGTTTAACCTGTCTGGTTTCAGGTAATCCCCTCATATTTCTCCAAACTATTAGTAAATCTTACATCTTCAGTTGTGAGTTTACTGAGATTTACTTTGTATTGATCTCCGAACATTATATTATTGGAAAATGCCTTTTCACTGCCCCTCTTGCACAATCATTTATAAGCATCCCTCAGTATGTCTTCAATTTTTATAGGAGCCTAATTTAATAATAGTATCTGGTGCAGGTCTAAATAGTCATCAAGTTGAAGATCGACCTCTTTACTACAAAAGGAGGTCAGACAGCCTTCTAAGCAACCTGGCAAACCTGGCTTATATTTATTTTATGCGTACAGTCACTGAAGACTGGGGAATGTGCTCGACTAATGTATATTAATACATCTTTTATTTTATATTCTAACCTTTTATTTCTTATTTTTGCAGTTGCATCATGGACAAGAGTGACCTAGTGCAGAAGGCAAAGCTCGCTGAGCAGGCCGAGCGCTATGATGACATGGCTGCGTCTATGAAGGCCGTGACGGAGGGCGGTGTTGAGCTTTCCAATGAAGAGCGCAACCTGCTCTCCGTGGCCTACAAGAATGTGGTAGGCGCCCGCCGCTCGTCCTGGCGTGTGATCTCCAGCATTGAGCAGAAAACTGAAGGCAACGAGAAGAAACAGCAGATGGCACGCGAATACCGTGAGAAAATCGAAGCCGAGCTTCAGGAAATCTGCAACGACGTGCTGGTGAGATACTCGATGTTTGAATCTGAGACAGAAAGAAAAATGTTTGATTGTTTCCAGCTCAACGTCATTGAATTGAAGTAAAGAATCTCCGCAGAATTCAAAACCTAGACTTCTGAAGTTTTGTAGTCTGGTATGTAATATTAAATACTGTACATCAAGACCTGACACAGCATTAAATTCAGTGTAGCAGTGAAGTATTGCATGAGTTTAGAAAGTGACTCTTAAAGGGATAGTTCACCCCAAAATGAAAATTTACACAGTATTTAATCTCCTTCAATTGCTTACAAACCTTTGAGTTTCTTATTACTGTTGAACACAAAATGTATTTTTAAAAATGTTAGAAACCTCTAACCATTAACTTCAATAGTAGAATGCCAGATACTATGCAAGTCAAAGGTGGCAGGTTTTCAGCATTTTTCAGAATATCTTCCTTTGCGTTCATCTGAAGAAAAACTCATGTTTGTAATAAATGATTGAATAAATGACACAGTTTTCAGTTTGGGTGAACTCTCCCTTATGCTCAAAACGACATCAGGATATCTGCTGGGTCTTAATGTCTTGCATTTCAAAATCAAAATTTTAGGCCTTAAAGTCTTTAATTCACTGAAATATTGTGTTGTAGGTCTTAAACTGTTCTAAACGGGTCTTAATTTTTCTTCGTCCACATAAAGCTACCCAATCGGGCCAACACACATCAAATCACTATCATTCCATTTCAATAAAAGTTTTAGCAAAAGTTTATTTATTAAATCTATTAACCAATTGTATTTCTATTTATAAACGTGGTTTAATTATGTTCCTTAAAATAACATTTAATTATGTTTTAACTGGGCTGGGTGTTTAGCATTGCGGAAGTCTGAAGTTTTAATGATAATGGTCTTAAAAAGGTCTTAAAGTCTTAAGTTTAACTTGATAAAACCTGTAGAAATGCTTTACATGCACTGAAAATGCAAGTTTTCCTAACATAATACACAATTTTTTTCTCTTTAATTTAATTTGTCAGTTGTCAAGTGTTTAATGTAAAATAAATAAGTAAAAACTTAAGTGATGCATAAAAGGGTTATCAAAGTTAAATAAACGAATTAACTAAAGTTAATGTTAACTAATTGGCAGAAATAAAAATGCAAGATTAATAAAGCAGCAAATATTTGTCACGTTTTGTTGTTCAATAAAGTAAACATTAAGGCTGATCTATACTTCTGGGTAAAGCGCACGCGTATGCTCCTGCGCAGCCTGTCCGCGGTCACATAGCCCCTGCCGTGACTGTCGTTGCACCTCTCAAAAAATGTAACTACATGTTGCAATGACGCGTATCGCAAGCTCTGTGATTGGTCGGCTTGGTAGCACTGATGAGTGTATGCAGGGCTGAGAGCCGTGCTAGCCTGATGGAGCAAATGTTTACAAATGTCGAGTCCAGTGAAGGAGCTCCAGATTGAAAGTTTAGTTTTGTGTTTCCCTCATAATTAAAGTTATTGCATGTCCGCCAGTTCCCGCCTCAAAATGAGCAAGTTTGAGCTAATTCTACGTACTTCTACTTTCACACCAGCGAAGAAACTTGACACTGAGGAACATAACCTACTGCCAGCTAGTGTTTCGGAAGTATTATTGCGGAGCAACACAGCGTGCAGAAGTAAAAATGCACGACAATGCACAAGGCATGCGCTGTGGGTCATGCTGATCACTCGACGCAGAAGTGTAAACCATGCTTTACCCAATTTACAATGGGTAAATTGCTTTGGCTAATTTCTAAAAAAAAAATAATAATAATTTACTTTTTATATACTAAAACTAAGAACGAATTAATTTTTGTAAAGACATATTTAAAAATATACTAAACTAACCATATCTGACATTTAAATCAAAATGAGAAATCGAATAAAAAATAAAAGCTAATTCTAAGTCAAAATAGTATCTGCTCTATATTAAAATGATACACAGTTGCTTTCCGTGTTAAATTATATGTCTATGTTTTTCGTTTGTCAGTTGTCAAGTGTTTTGTGTAAAAATATTTAAAAACTTATTAAGTGATACATAGATGGGTTATTATAGTTAAATAAACCATAAAACTGAAGTTTTTTAAACTAATTGGCAGAAATAAAAATGGAATAATAAAGCAAATATGTGTCACATTTTGTTGTTCAATGAAGTAAGCATTATCTAATTTACAATGCAGAAACTGCTTCAGCTGATTTCTAAAAGAAAATGGTTTAATCTTATTAAAATAAATTGTTTCATTTTATACACTAAAATGAAGAATGAATTAAATTATATAGACACATATTTAAAAAATATACTAAAACAACCATTACCATATCTGAAATTCTAATGAAAATGAGAAATCGAATAAAATAAAAGCTAATTCTAAGTTAAATTAGTGTCTGCTCTATATTAAAAGTGATGCATAGAAAGGTTTTTATAATTAAATAACCCTAAAACTTAAGTTATTGTTAACTAATGGACAGAAATAAAAAATGCAAGATTTAAAAAAGCAGCAAAAATGTGTCACATTTTGCTCATTGAAATAATCGTTACTTAATTTACAAATGCGGAAACTGTTTCAGCTCATTTCTAACAGAATTGTTTACTGTAAAATAAAATTGTTTCATTTTATACAATAAAACTAAGAAAAGATTAGGTTGTGTCGACGCATATTAAAAAAAATACTAAAACAACCATTACCATGTCTAAAATTCTAATGAAAATGAGAAACTGAATAAAATAAAAGCTAATTCTAAGTTAAAATAGTTTCTGCTCTATATTAAAATAACACACAGTTGCTTTTCAGGTTAAATTGTACTTCTAAGTTCTTTTCATTTCCTTTGTGTCAGTTGTCAAGTGTTTCAAGTAAAAATAAGTAAAAACTTAGAGTGATGCATAGAGTTATTATAGTTAAATAAACCATAAAACTGACATTATTTTTAACTAATGGACAGAAATAATGCAAAATTAAAAAAAGCAAATATTTGTCACATTTTCATTGTTCAATAAAATAAGAATTACTTAATTTACAATGCGGTTTCAGCTCATTTCTAAGGAAAGGGTTCATTTTTTCAAATAAAATTTTCAATTTATGCACTAAAAACGAAGCATAAATTGTATAATATAGACATATTTTTAAAAAATGACTAAAACAACCATTACCATATCTAAAATTCAAATGAAAATGAGAAATCGAATAAAATAAAACCTAATTCTAAGTCAAAAGAGTGTCTGCTCTATATTAAAATAACATAAAATAACACACAGTTGCTTTCCGTGTTAAATTGTACTAAGTCTAAGTTGTTTTCAGCTAGAATGTTTCATATGTATCAGCAAGGCCGTTTTAAAATCAGAGAAAAATGTATAAATATGAAACTGATCTTATGAGAAATGCAATTTGTATGGATCCAAAGATGAACTCGACTGTTGTTCTTCCTCTTTCTAACGGCTAATAATTTTCATTGTATTTTTTCCCATGTATTATTAATCCTCATAGCTTGACATTGGTCTTGCCTCCTCTCTCTCAGGGTCTCCTGGAGAAGTACCTCATTCCCAACGCTAGCCAGGCAGAGAGCAAAGTCTTCTACCTGAAAATGAAAGGAGATTATTACAGATACCTGTCCGAGGTGGCATCCGGGGACTCAAAGAGAAGTGAGTTTGTTTGATTTGAAATGCTGCCTAAAAATGTCAGGTTTAAATGGCTGAAACAAAAACTAAGGCTCTGAAATAAACAGTTAGATGCTAGCCTGAAGAAACTGCATCAGGACATTCAGGCGGTGATGTTACGCTCATGAAATTGATTTTTGTGTTTTTCTATCGAATTACAGCCACAGTGGAGAACTCTCAGAAGGCCTACCAGGATGCATTTGAGATCAGCAAGAAGGAAATGCAGCCAACACACCCCATCAGGCTGGGACTAGCGCTGAACTTCTCCGTCTTTTACTATGAAATCCTCAACACCCCAGAGCAGGCCTGCAGTTTGGCAAAGACGGTCAGACGTTTTACTATCTGCTTGTTTAAATTTTTTTTACAACTTAATAGTTCTGTTCTGAGTATATTCAGTGTACCGTTTGTTTTTATAACTCAATTATAACTTCTATTCATTCATCAAAAAGATTATTCTGTTTATTCTGAATACTAAGATGTATATTTGCAGTGTGCAGGCACAGTGCACCTGACCTTCATTTTTACTTTTACCATAGGCTTTCGATGAGGCAATTGCTGAGCTGGACACCTTGAATGAGGACTCTTACAAAGACAGCACCCTCATCATGCAGTTACTAAGGGACAACCTCACTGTAAGTGTTAGCTTTCTGCTTTCTTGTTTACTTTTTTTTTTATAGATGTAGAAAGACATCAAATTGAATGAATTCAATGCAAAATTATTATAGGGTGGACAGTTTACACATGGTTTAAGAATATTAGTACGAGTTGGCTAAAGTACATGCACTACCTTACATAAGTCTTGTCGTTGATCCCAGTTGTATGAGCAACAAATAATAACTTGACTTCTAGTTGATTATTTGGGAAAGTGGCAGAAGGTCTATTTTTCTCATGAATCGTCTGTTAAGCTGCATCTCACTCATCACAAAAGACCAATTGGAACCCGCATGGATCCAAGATTCTCACTGAATTCAGTCAAGTTTTTTGAAAGAAAAAAAAATCAGTTTGGGGTTACATTCAGTATGGGGGCGTGCGAGAGCTCTGCAGAGTAGATGACAACATCAACAGCCTGAGCTATCAAGATATTTGTGCTGATCATTACATTACAAGCCACAGGAGAGGGCAAATTCTTCAGCAGGATAGCGCTCCTCCTCGTACTGCAGCCTCTAGATCAAAGTTTCTGAAAGCAAAGAAGGTCAAGGTCCTCCAGGATTGGCCAGCCCAGTCACCAGCTATGAACGTTATTGAGCATGTCTGGGTTAAGTTGACAGGGGCATTGAATATAAATCCAAAGAGTCTTGATGAACTCTTTGAGTCCTGCAAGAACGCTTTCTTCGCCATTCCAGATTAATTGATTAATAAGTGATTTGAGTCATGCAGAGATGTATGGATGCAGTGCTCCAAGCTAATGGGAGTCATACACAATATTCTGTTTCAACTGCTCCATGACTTTATATTCTATACTGTACATTATTTCTGTTAAGTGACAACACTTTTGTCTAAGCAAAGTCAGAGCTTACTGTCCTAATGAAATAATGAAAAATCAAGACATGATTATATTTTATTTTGGTAAAATAAGCGTAATCCAGAGGCCTTTGCCTTTTATAAAAGCCACTTCTGATACCAAATGACCAACTAGAAGTCAAGTTAGTATTTGTTGTTCCTTAAACTTGGAGATAGGTGACAACTTTTATTAGGTAGTGTACATACATGCATACAAACATGGACAAAATTGTTGGTACCATTCAGTTTTGTCCAGAATCATTAGTTTTATATCGAACACTATAACTGAAACTAAACTAATGAAAAGCAGATATTTTTGATTAATCATTACCTTTTCAAAAATGTATTTATTTGTGTTAATTTAATTGTATATTTATTATTGAAATGTTACTGCCATGGAAATAGTCTTGGTTGCTGACATTGCTAGAAATAATTATTTCATCATCAAGTTATTTCAGTGACCACTGTAATGTTTTTTCTTCAGTGGAAGAGGGTATCAACAATTTGGTCAATGTCTCTGTGGACATATTTATATTATATCAATTTTTATTTCACTGTGAATGCATAGAAAGTTTTGGCAACTGATTTACATGTACTTGATATGCATGGAAAAGTGAATATCTTAAAGGCCAGTTTTTGGTGGCATTTTATGAATTTAGTATGGTTGCCAGTTCTGTTTTATTCAACAATTGCATAATGAGCATAACCATTTTAGTTTATGATTGATATGAATTTCTTAGCACTTATATGTTATTAATATGAACAATGCAAAGACAATCCCATTAGGACCGGTCATATTATGGCTGTGCAATGATCGATTTCTGGTTAGTTTTTCTGATTTTTGATCAACGTCTTCTTTAATTTCTGCAGCTGTGGACATCAGAAAACCAGGGTGACGAGGGGGATGCTGGCGAGGGCGAGAACTAAAGGCGTTGCACTTCACTGTTAAATCCACCTACACTCTTTATCTTACACATATACAGCCCATAATTCCCTGCTCCATCCAATCCACCTCACCTTTATCCACCTTTCTGTATGACGAGCAGCATGAATTGTACCTGACCTACAAGTTTGTACCCCTGAGGCCACGAGCGGAAGGGCAAAGTTTGGTTTCTCTGACTTGTCTCAAACATGTCTGTTTGTGTATTTCCCCCCCAGACGAGGGAAAAATGGTTGAATAGTGGAGACGATTTCCATCCTTCCCTCCCCTTCCTAAAAAAAACCCTCCTAACATTTTTAAAAGGTATATGTTCTCTGGTCCTAGCAGGTTATAATGCATTATAGTGTCCCCTCCTTTTCCCATACCTCCCTTTTCTGTCTTTTTCTCTCCAATAGTGTACTGGCGATTGCTGGTTTTATTCAAAAGGTTATTAAACTGTCCATTAATTTAACAAACACTGTGACGTTTAGTTTTTCCACCTGGTTAATAACATGTGCTCAATGGGAACGGATTAGTTACGAGTAGCAGTACAATTCTGTTGCGATCTCATACAGAAGGGATGAAAACAGGCTGTATTGTGACACTGACTAACACGCATTACTATTACTCCTATCACGTGCATCCTTTTTTTAGCATGCACGGCTAACAACGACAAAAGGGACCCGAGGTTTGCCATTCCATGTCTGTTCAGTTTTAAGTTAAAGACATTCCATCATAATGTGACATTTAATGATTACAAACCTTTCGTGAACAAACTGGAGAGTTTCCTAATGTGCTGTCAAGAAGGCAGTCAACATAAAGGTGCTGTTTGACATCAGTAAACGATTTTCCTGGTTTGTTCTGTACTTTATTTCTCCCCTCCACCTTATTTTTTATTTTTGCATAATATTGACCTCACATCGGTTTAATAAATGTTTTAGAGGTGAATATAAACCCGTCATAACTAAATGTCGTCAATCTGCTAGTAAAAAAACTACGCTATAATTATTAAGAACGCCCCTACAGAAAGTAAGATAAGGCTAAATTTGAGTTATTAGTGAATATCTAATAGACGTCTAAGAAGAGCCCAAAACTAGACCAGTCATCAAATAGACAGACTTTATTCCTGATTATTTGTTGACTAGTCTAGTTTTGGCCTATTCTTAGACGTCTATAAATCCAAATTTAGCCTTGTTTTAGCCAAGATGGCTGTTTAGACGTCTATTAGACCTCTTTTAAAAACAACTTAAAAGTTTTGTCGCTGACTTAGTAAATAATTTGGTAAATCTAAAAGTAAACAGCTTGGCTAAAATAAGGCTACATTTGAGCAGTCAGTAAATATCTAATAGACATCCAAGTATAGGCCAAAACTAGACTAGTCATAAAATAGACAGACTTTGTGTGTAGTCATTTATTCTTGTTTATTTGTTAAGTAGTTTTGTTTTGACTTATCCTTAGATGTCTATTAACCCAAATATAGCCTTGTTTTAGCCAAGATGGCTGTTTAGATGTCTATTTGACATTTTCAAAAAAACAACATCATTGTAATTCAGGAGTTTTGTCGCTGACTTCCTAGTAAACAATTTTTTGTACCCAAATGTCGACAGCTTAGCTAAAATAAGGCTAAATTTGAGCAATCAGTGAACGTCTTATAGACATCTAAGAATAGCCCAAATCTATACTAGTCATCAAATCAGCAGACTTTGTGTGTAGTCGTACATTCCTGTTTATTTGATGACTAGTCTAGTTTGGCCTATTCGTAGATGTCTATTAACCCAAATTTAGCCTTGTTTTAGCCAAGACGACTATGTTTAGACGTCTATTAGACATCTTTTGAAAACAACATCATTGTAATTCAGGAGTTTTGCTGCTGACTTCCTAGTAAACAATTTTGTGTATCTAAACGTAGACAGCTTGGCTAAAATAAGGCTCAATTTGAGCAGTCAGTGAATATCTAATAGACATTTAAGAATAGCCCAAATCTAGACTAGTCATCAAATAGACAGACTTTATATTTTTCATTCCTGTATATTTGTTGACTAGTCTAGTTTTGGCCTATATTTAGATGTTTGTTAACCCAAATTTAGTCTTGTTTTAGTCAAGACGATGTAGATGTCTATTAGACATCTATTATACATCTTTTAAAAGCAAAAAAAAAATGCTTTCTGGGGCTTCACTATTCTTTTCTTTTAAAATACAAGTTTCTATAAGACCTCTGCAGAGAAGTTTTGGATTTAACTTGAATTTTGTGCTGGAAACGTCATTAGTTTTGGCCTGCAAAAGCCAAGCTGAGATTGGGATTTGGCAAATAGTCTGTGGTATCAGTCGCTCAGTGTCACAATACCTTGTCACATCACCATAACATTCCACTTAGGTGTAGAACTCATCTGTCTCGAGCTGAAGACAACGTTCATGCACTGAAGACGAAAGCTCTTTCTCCCCTTAGCTGAACAAATGGCAGTTATTCTACGCTTGATTACAAAAAAAAAATACAGTAGTGAATGTGGAGCCGAGCCTGTCTGTATATCTGGTATCTCCAATTGCTTTGTTTTTACTGACCAGTATTCTGCCTAAAGTTAGCTTCTGTGACGGTTTCATTGCTTAGCGCGCACGTGGTTGTGAAAATTTAGACTAGCTTAAGGAAAAAAAAACGTTACAAAATGACAAAAAAAAAATACAACCTGGTTATTGACGTAATACTAGATTTGTGTATGTCTTTTAAAACAGTTCTAGTTTCACCTTACATGTTATAATCAGGAAAGTGTAAAAGACAATTTAAAGTGAAATAAAAGTTTTATCAGTTCCAAATTGCGCTGTATTTATTTTCACAGTGGTTTCTGTTCAACCAAAAAGAAACATCATATCATGCTTATCTATATAATATATATAAATCTATATATTTTACATTCTTGTCATACATATATACTTACGGCCAGTTTATTAGGTACTCCTTACTGGTACCGGGTTGGACCCCCTTTTGCCTTCAGAACTGTCTTAATCCTTTATGGCAAAGATTCAAAAAGGTACTGGAAATGTTCCTTTTGCTCCATATTGACAATAGCATCACACAGTTCCTGCAGATTTTCTGGCTGCACATCCATGATATGAATCTCCCGTTCTTCCACATCCCAGAAGTGCTCTATTGGATTGAGATCTGGTTACTGTGGAGGCCATTTGAGTACAGTGAACTCCTTGTCATGTTCAAGGAACCAGACTGAGATGATTCACGCTTGATGACATGGTGCGTTATCCTACTGAAAGTAGCCATTAGAAGATGGGTACACTGTGGTCATAAAGGGATGGAGATGGTCAGCAACAATACTCAGATAGGCTGTGGTGTTGGCACGATGCACAATTATTACTAATGATCCCAAAGTGTGCCAAGAAAATATCCCCCACACCATTACACCACCAGCCTGAACTGTTGATACAAGGCAAGAAAGATTCATGCTTTCATGTTGTTTACGCCAAATTCTGACCCTTCCATCCATTTCATGTTGCTGCCTTGTGATTGACTGATATGAAATTTGTTAACAATCAGTTGGACAGGTGTACCTAATAAAGTGGCCGGTGATAAATGCATCCATTAATGCATATTTAATCAAGCATTTGTGGCAGTGTCTAGGTTTAATACAAGTTAAGGTTAATCGTGTGATGTTGACTACCAAGGAAAGGTATGTATATACGAAAGTTAAAGTAAAAAATTGAAATGTGACTGCATGAGACCAATTGAAGATCTAAAAAAACATGACCTCTCTGTACAGAACTTTAAAATATGGACCAATCAACAGCTTTTTTAAATGTCAAATCATCTTGTTTAATCCAACAGAACAGAATTTTGCATGCTCAAACTCTAGAGCAGGCGTGTCAAACTCTGTTCCTGGAGGGCCACAGCCCTGCAGTTTAGTTCCAACCCAGCTTCAACGCTCCTATCTGTAGGTTTCAAACAAGTCTAAAGCACTCCATTAGTTTGATCAGGTGTGTTTAATTAGGGTTGAAACTAAACTGCAAAACTGCTGTCCTTCAGGAACACTTGTGCTCTAGTGTGACTGTGGCATAGTTTGTATTTTGGTAAATGGCAGCAAATATTTTCATTTTAATAGCTTTTAATGACATCTACTACTTGAATGTGTTTCATTTATTGTGTTCAAAGTCATCCTTGACCGTAGCACATCATTTGACAACTACATGGCAACGCACAATGATACTGAACCTTGTCCTTTATTATCAGATGCATAACAGCACATTATTTAAATACAGACCCGTTTACATTATCTTGATGCAAAAAATGGCATAAGAAACATCAATAAATACAGGTGTCAAGACTTTACAAATGTATATAAACATTAAATGTTTTCAACAGGAATTAACCCACAACTAATTTTTTGAAACAAAGTTAAGCAAAACTGATTTTGTTGAAAATACAGCCCTAAAACTATTTGCCTATTTGAACTTCAAGTCTAAAGAGAAACAGTAGAAATAGGTTAAAATGAATGAGGCATTCAGTTCAATGTGCAAATAATTCCACATTAAAAAAAACAAATCACATGCTAAATCACGCTGAAGTTTGATTAAAGATCAATTAAGTGGTAACATGTTTGACCAAATCAAGTACAGGATGGAGTTTCAAATTTAAACTTGACTGCCAATAGCGTATCGATGGCAAAAAAAGCATCCAATCAAGTGCTCCTATATTAACGTGAAGGGTTTTAAATGATGATGTATGTGCATATCTGAAGTTTACAGCAAATGTTGCAGCTCAGAAAGGCAAATCAACGAGGCACTTGGGGGGGGAAGTTTCCTCGTGTCCACATCACACTCGCAGTCATTTCATCTTCTGTACTTCCTGCAGGAGCTTCTGCACTGCTGTGTTGTTTGGATCGATTTTGAGTACGCTATTGAGATCCTCAATACAAGACTTCTTGTTCTAGGAGGGAAGAAAAAAAAAACATTTAGAAAAAGATCAATTATTCACCTTTTAAGCAAATCATTCACAAATACACCTACTTTGAGTTCCTTGTATGCCTGGGCACGTCTGTAAAGGGCTTTAATGTTGGCAGAATCCAATCGAAGAGCCTCCTCGCAGTCCCTAATCGCATCTTTGTACATCTTTAAGGCTAGATAGCAGAGAGCTCTACAAGCAAATATTGATTTACACACATTATTAAAGGATAATTCATACATTCTGCAAGCCTAGATCTAAAATTCTGATCATGCGAACATGGCGACCCTAATATTTCATAAGTTGTTACCTGTTTGTGTAGGTTGTGACTTCTGTGGGGTCTTGAGCAAGTGACTGTGTGTACTTCTCCATGGCTTTCTTGTGTTCCCCCTTCTTCACAAGTGCGTTGCCTTCTTCCTTTAAAGTTCTGCCCTTTTTAACAGCGTCTGGTCCTGGTGCTTGAAATGAAATGGCTGACAATCAGGTTCTGAAGGCAAGTGTGAGGCATTTGCTTGGTACAGCAAAAGTAAATACCTTTTTTCTTGTCGTCGATCACGTTGTTCTGTTGTGAGCTGGAGGCTGGACTGGCGGCTTGTCCTAACTTTTCCTTTACGGACATTGGAACGGTAGGAATCGGGGGCAGTTTCTCTCGCCATGATGGTCCATCCATTTCTGTCAAAGCCTTGGTCATTCTAAAAGGAAAGAGTTTTACTTGCGAAGTTCATTGTGGTTGATAACGAAGTACACGTGAGCCCAAACAGTAATGCCACCTGCCTAACATGCTAATGGTCCTGCATGTGCTGAAAAACAGTCGATCATTGACTCATGGCCTCTACAAGACCCCTAAAGTTGTCATATCTGACACCAAGTGCTTTAGGTTGCAAGGTAGAGTCATGGTGGATCCAGCACATCCCATAGATGTTCAACTGGACGGAGGTCTGGAAGATTTTGTGGCCAAGGCAACACCTATACACTTCATCAGGTTCTTGAAACCATTCTTGAGCAATGTGTGCAGTACGGCAGGTCTGGACACAGTAGTCATGAACAGGTATACCGGGGGCCTGTACTATTAGGCTGGATTAGCTGGCTAGCCAGTTAAGTTTTAGTTTGCACCAATATTGGGTTTTAGGTAACATGAAGGCAGCTCGGCTTTATTCACTCTTTGTTGCCATGATATTATGGAGCAGCTGAGCTACCTTCATGGTACCTAAAATCCAGAATTGGTGCAAAAGAAACTGCCGGCAGCTAGCTCTCTGCAACTCGCTCACTGAAGCTCAGCAGGGCTGCTCCCGGTCAGTACCTGGATGGGAGACCACATGGGAAAGCTAGGTTGCTGTCGGAAGTGGAGTAAGGGAGGCCAACAGGAGGCGCTAAACCTGCAGTCTGTGTAGGTCCTAACGCCCCAGTACATATATGGAGAATTCACTACTCAGCGAGCGTCGTCTTTTGGATGAGACGTTAAACCGAGGTCCTGATTCTCTGTGGTCATTAAAAAATCCCAGGATGTCCTTCGAAAAAGCGTAGAGGTTTAACCCTGGCATCCTTCTGTCAATCAAAATTAGCTTCATCACTCTGTCTCTCCACTAATCAGCTGGTGTTGAGTGTGCAATAAGGCTCCTGTCATGTCATCCAGGTGCATGCTGCACACTGGTGGTGGATGAGAAGATGCCCCCCAATGTGTAAAACACTTTGATTGTCTAGAAAAGCACTATATATATATATATAAATATATGTAGGGAATTAAACTTAACCGACTAGCCAGATTAGTGCAGGGTCACATAACCATACGTTACAGGTCCCTAAATATAAAGGCCTCCTTCGACCTGCTTATCTTTTTCATCACATGGCCATCCACAAGGCAATCATGGTTTATTCCTCCTAGGTACCATGAAGGTAGCTTAGCTCTATCTACTCCATAATACCAGAGCTGCCTTCAAGTTATCTAAAACCCAAGATTGGTAAACTGAAACTTAACTGGCTAGCCAGTTAATCCAGCTTCATGGTACAGGCCCCATGAGTAAACCTGTAAAAGTTACCTGTAAACAGGGCTTTACATTAACACCCACCAACCCGCCAAATGCGGGTAGATTTCAGCTTTGGCGGGATAGACAGACACCTCCACTAGCCACTTTGGCTGGTTGAAAATAATTTTTCAATTGTAGTTTTCCTAAAAGCAGGGTTCAACAATATAAGGATGGCCCAATATCCGTGCAAATGTGATCTTAGAATCGAGAAGTAAAATAATTGTGATCACGAGAGCAGAAGAAAGCAAATGAATTCCGAATGAGAGGATGATGATCACTCGCGCTAACAACTGATGTGATGCGCTTGACTGCTTAACGCGTGCGCGCTCTCGAATCGTGAAGCAACTGTGTCTGGAACAGGTTCTGGAAACGCAACTGTCATCGGTTCTCTTTCAAATAAACTAGACCAATTGTGATGAACATGCACCCGCAGTCCTGATGCTTTAAAGAGCTCAAAATGTGTCGTTTTGTAAGCAGCACCGGTTGCTTTCACTTTGAACAGATTATTAAATGGCCTAAAGTTAACCGTGCGCATGTGATCATCCTGTCATTATCAAACATGGTATGTTTCACCTGCTTTCATTTGCTTACGGTTTTATTTGCTTTTATTTTTGTTAAAATGGTTTAATTTTTTTTTTTTTTTACAACATTCCTTTAATGGGAGATGAACTCTTTATTTATGTGTAGTCAACTAGTGATCCGAGAGATCTTTATCCAGGACAGATTACTGTGCATATTTTTGAATCATGACTATAGTTATTTTTTAAAAGTCAAATTCTGACCAGAACCAGAAAATCAGAGCACATCACACCTGTCCTCAGGCCTTTACACTGGCTGCCAGTTACATTCAGAATAGATTTTAAAGAATTGTTACTGGTCTATAAATCACTAAATGGCCTAGGACCTAAATACATTACAGATATGCTCACTGAATACAAACCTAACAGATCACTCAGATCTTTAGGATCATATAAACTAGAAGTTCCAAGAGTTCAGTCAAAGCAGGGTGAATCAGCTTTCAGCTACTATGCCCCTCGCTGCTGGAATCAGCTTCCAGAAATGATCAGATGTGCTCCAACATTAGGCACATTCAAATCAAGACTGAAAACACATCTGCTTAGCTGAGCCTTTACTGAATGAGCATTGTGCTGCGTCCGACAGATTGCACTGTTTTTTTTTTCCTTCTTCATTCTTTTATAACATTATACCTGTTTTTGTGTTTTTTTTACTCATTTTTATTATTTGTTTTTATTTTTATTTTACTTGTTTCTTTTATTCTTGTTTATGTAAAGCACTTTGAATTGCCACTGTGTATGAAATGTGCTATATAAATAAACTTGCCTTACCTTGCTTTTCTTTCTTTTTAAAGAAATGTTTTGTTAAATAAAAATTATAGTATATAGCTATATTTTGCTTGTTTTGACACATTAAAAATTTGTGGCTAAGAAATAATTATTGTTTAGTGTGGTTTTAGAGATAAATTTGGTAAATCGTTAATTTTGAGCTCTAAAAAAAGTCATGTGAAATAAAAACTAATTGCAATATAACACTATAAAACCCTGACCCATTTGCTCACGCTCATTGAGCAAGCTCATACTCGACACACAAAAAGTGAAATGAATGAGGACGCATGTGGACACAGCACAAAATTCAACGTCAAATTTAAGCATATAAAATATATTTTCCCTACAACAAAATTGTGGCTAGTGAAAATTCTGAGTGGCTAGTAACATTGGAAAACTACTAGCCACAGTGGCCTGTGATTAAAAAAGTTAATGTAAAGCCCTGCCTGTAAAAGAGATTATCTAACCTAAATACTCCAAATCACTTAGATTTTTATTCCTGCATCCAACACACTGATAAATTAAAATTGTTTGCTTACCCATTGTTCGAGCTCAGTTCTTTCTTACCTCCACCATTTATTGTACCTAGTAACCTGGTTGTTTATTGGACTGAGGTTCCAAAAGGGCTGTGCTGATACTAATACGGTGACATAAACCCAACATCACTGATTGACACCAGCGTGATTGAACCTGCAGCATGAGGCAGGCACCAGTCCTGCTCCGTTTTAATAATCAGCACAGTCACTGAAAGTTCACTGAATGAGCGCAAATAAAAATAAATGTATCTTGGTCATTAGAGGAAGTAGATGTTCCTCTCATTGAAAGCCAAGCTCGTCCAATTGTGGCTAAAATATATTGTCCACAATTGTGCATCTGTTCATCGCACGTTTACGATTATGTCACAACAGTAAAGGTGGTGCAGCTACAACATGTCTATAATCTAACCACATCTAAAGAGGTGTTGAACTGCAGTGAAACCCAGTCATACCATACATTAGAAAAGTACCACATGTTAGGAGATTATAGGACCTCAGTAGTGCATTCTCTGTGAACATGCAAAATTCTGGATCCGTGCTGGATTACCTGTTGACTCCATCGTGAGCAGCTGGTATGTTCCAGTCGATCTGTAAAACTGTTTTGTAGTCCACATATGCTTGTCGGTATCTCTCCAAAGCTTCAAAAGCTGCTGCACGGCGTAGCAGAGCTTTAAATCCAAATGGAACCAAGTCAAGCGACCTGAAAGGTAAATATAAAGTTTTTTTAACACTGAGCATCATCATGTTAAACTTGTTGGCACCTTCATTCATTGCACTCACGCCGTGCAGTCTTTAATGCATTCATTGCAGTTTCCATCTTTCAGGTAACTGGCGGCCCTGTTTGAGTACAAAATACCCAGATCTTCAGTTTTCTTCTGACCTGCGAACAGAATGGTTACAAATGCATGGATGTCTCTTTATTTACTGTGGTATCAATGAATCCTTTACATCTTATCCATTCTGATGTACCATTTTAAACTGTATTCCATCTGGTAAGAGAACCCTATTGTCACTTAACACATTAATAAGCCATCTCCTTTTATAGTATAATAACATAGGATAGTACCATGACATTACCATCAAATTCAGTCACTGTTCTAAGGTTCTGTAGGATTATAATGTTTGTTTTATTCTTTTAGGATGTGTTCTCATTTGTAGTTTAGTTCTCTTGGGTCATTTGGTCCAGACAAATGAGACAATAATACATTTAGTCCTGGTTTACTTTGAGGTTACAGACTTTAATTTTTAGATTATTTCCTTATGTGACGTCTATTTAAACACACACATACAAAAGACTGCCAACATATGATGGTGTTTTTATCAGTTGACAACTTGTGAAGACTTTTATGAAGATGTCAAACCTGCTTTAGTAATTCCTGTCCCAAACACAACGTGGCATAAACCTCTGTTTTAATCCTAGTTTATTTTGGTTCATTTATTCATAATTTGTCTCTAAACTTTGCCTCTCAGGGTCCTGCTAATACACCCTTTTTGTCTGTGCGGTGTGAATACTCAGAAAACCTCTGAGATAATACACAGTACTGAAATTAATTTACCATGTTGTTTATATTATACTTCTAGTGATATAAACACAGTGAAAGATTTAGTTTGGGTGCTAATGCCAGAATACTATGGTACTATCAAATGTACAAAAACATGTATATCAAAGAGGTCAAACTGTAAGGATGGTAGTCACCCAAGCCAGGGGCAGATTTAGTTATTTGGGGGCCCTAAGCAATTATATCGACGGGGCCCAATAATCCTAATATGCACCCTTTTTTTAAATTATTTTCTTTTTTTTGCTGTCTTTTTCTTATATCACTCAATCTTGCTTCCCACGTTTACATCTAAATGCAATCTCTACATTTAAATTAATTGTTTTCTTAAACTAAAAAGTTATATATATATATATAAATTGTATTTGTTAAACCCTCAATAGAAATTATGATATATCATTTATTGAAACTTCTAGATATTTTTAAAGGTCCATCAGATTTCTTTATCAAGCTAAAGTTGGTTTTATATTTGCACATTGGTTCAGTGACAGCATGTGACAGGCCTCCCTATATTGTTTACCATAGTATTTTGAATGTTCTTTCTGAAATCACATCACAGTGTTTATTTGAATGTGAACAATGTTGTTCATTGATATTCGTTGGCTGCTGATATGTTTAATTATTAAGAATTTGCAAAGAATAATTTTCTTAAATAGGGCGACGCAGTGCCGCAGTAGGTAGTGCTGTCACCTCACAGCAAGAAGGTCGCCGATTCGAGCCTCTGCTCGGTTAGTGGGCATTTCTGTGTGGAGTTTGCATGTTCTCCATGTGTTCGCGTGGGTTTTCCACACAGTCCAAAGACATATGGTACAGGTGAACTGGGTAGGCTAAATTGTGAGTGAGTGTTTTGAGTGTGTATGGATGTTTCCCAGAGATGGGTTGCGGCTGGAAGGCAATCCGCTGTGTAAAAATGTGCTGGATAAGTTGGCGATTCATTCCGCTGTGGCGACCCTGGATTAATGAAGGGACTAAGCCGAGAAGAAAATAAATGAATGAATGAATTTTCTGAAATTATATTATAACGGAGGAAGTCAGATTGTGTCAATATAAAACCATCTATACATCAATGTCCCTGGGCCCCAGTTTGAAACCTCTGAGATAATACACTACTCAAATTAATTTACCATGGTGTTTATATTATACTGCCAGTTACACAAATACAATGAGACATTAAAAGTCTAGGTGCTACTGCTAGAATACTATGGTACTATCAGATGTACAAAAACATGTTTATCTAAAAGGTAATACTGTAAGGATGATATTCACCCAAGCAATATATGTAATATCTGAGACCTCTTACCAGATTTCTCCAGCTGCTGGATGGCCTGGCTGTAGAGGGTCACCGCTTCTCCATACTGACCCGCTTTGAAGCACTCGTTACCGGCTTGTTTGAGATCCGTCCACGACTGCGTGCGCCGCTTCTGAGGCATGTTAACACTGTAACGATCAAAGTTACTGTAAACATTACCTGCTGTATGCTTAAAATGTTACAGTATCAACATAACGCTGTCATTAAATTGGTAATGTATAAACGAAACAAAAAGTTACCCTATAGAATCGTGTTGGTGGAAAAACCCGGAAAGTAAAGGCTGAAGGAAGAGCTTTAGTGATCGGCTGTTTAAAGTTAGCAGTTACTGTATTTAACAACGAGCTAGAGACCTATACTAGATAACCAGTCCGTCCTCCTCCTAGAACATGCTAGAAATTCTCTTCTCCGCCTTTCACACACACGCTAGTCGGGATGAGCACCACGTTTTACCGGCTGTGTGTCTAATGAAACGGGCGGTATTAAATTTCAGTTTCAGTTTTCGGGACTGAAGCGGCTGTCGAGCCTCGGAGCTGCTATTTGAAGAACGGGACGGATGGTTGTAACCCAATCCAGTGTTGCCAAATCGTGGTAGAGAAGAAATTAGTTGGTCTGATATAAACTTAAGAACGTTGCTTATAATAATTAAGTGGACATGGCAACACTGACCCAGCGCTAAACGAATGTTAGCTTCCCTCTACGGAAAGCCGTTGGTTGCCAGATGTTGCTGAAACCCGAAGCGTTCATTATATTAATACTGTAGTTTACGAAGCTTGGGAGTTCGTGGAAATTTGTGTAAAAAAAGTGTAAAATATGTATATATGAATAACAATAGTAGTAGAAAAAATATATTTTAATAACAAACAAAAATACTAATACATTATTGTATTGCTAAGAATTATAAATGAACACATTGTATTGATAAAAACCTAAAAAGTAATACAATAATTATAATTATATAATAACTAATATAAAAAAGTGATTAAAACAAAAAATATTAATATTGATTATCTTAAATTGGTTAGAAATATTAATACAAATTGATTAAATCATTGAAATATTTACTATTTTTAAAAGAGACATGTAATATTTTTGAACACAACTACTATAATATTAAAGTATACAAAACTACAAAAACTATATTATTTTTAAGACGTAATCAAATGTCCTACTTTATTTCCCACGCAATGCCATCCTCTTATATTGAAGTGTCCTTCGCCGCTTTCCGTAGTCAGGCCTCACATAAACGCCTTCCTCATTGAGTCACCGGACGTGCGCGCTGAAGGTCGCGAATTGAACGGTAAATATCGTGCTGATATTCCTTTATATCAAATCTTCTGTAATTAATATTGTGTAGAGTGTAAGACTGCGCCTGTTTAATGTTGTAACGCTTTATTTATTATCGGTATTCAAATAAACGTGCCTCGTTTTGGAGTGCAGCTAGTCTTTACGGCTGGCTAGCATTAACGTTAGCCGTTTGTGTTTCTCAGAAGGCACTAACACACTAACATGAATAAAAAATATCATAATTAAAATAAATCAATTTGTTTGTTTTTGATAGAGCTGTATCACGTGTTTAGGAGTAAAATTAAATAATAAAATACGACCTTGACCTCTTGGACGCACAGCAGTGTAACTGGTTATTAAACAATAATATTAATATAGCTGAATATTACATATTGGTGTCTGTTTTTATTATTTATGTCGCAGAAAACAAGCTAGAGTATCAATGGGTAGTTCTTTTAAATATCAATAAGACGTCCACCCATTCGTGATGGTCAGATTAGCACGTAGCAGTTCATAAGTAACGTTACAGCTCTAATAACGTGTTAATGCAGTTTAGGGTTGCCAAATTGACCACCAATATTTGAAATGTATTTTAATGAATGTCTTTTCTCTTTTTCAGAGTTCGACAATGTCACTTGCAAAGCCAGCAATGAGGGGCCTCCTTGCCAAGCGCTTGAGGTTTCATTTGCCCATTGCGTTTGCTCTTTCCCTCTGTGCCGCAGCCGCTTTCAAGGTCAGTAAAGATGGTTTTACGGTTTGCATTCATATTCATGCTTTTGGCAGACTCTTTTATACTTCCAAAAAAATAGCATTGCGTTGATGGAACACTTTTGATCAGTTCTGGGCTTCTGTCTTGAACCTACAACCTTAGGTGTTGAAAGCACAATGAGGTGAAGTTGATTGTCTATTTGCACATTCACAATCAATAAAACAGTAAAGCAGAATTTAAAAAGGTTTATTAACAGATTAATTTCATGACATACTCTTAAAAGCACAGCACCTAGTATTTGTTACTGAGCAATTCCAGCGTTATGGATGTGACATTTGCAGTAAAAACTCAAAACCTAAATCTGCATAGAAAGCATATGTTAACATTATATTGAAATTTTTGTTTATTTTCCAGAACAACTCACCACAGAGTTAAGGGACCAGAAACATATCAATCTGTAAACATATTTTGTACTTTAAATGTGGAAAATAAACATGCGTTATGGATGTGACAAAAAAAGTCTGCGGGTTTACAGCGCACAACAAACTGTGTAGAAATTCTGTGAATTAAACTAAAACCCAAAAGAAACAATTATAATCAAAACGAGAAAAGTTGGCTCTCTATAAAACAAAAAAAATTGGTTTTATTTTATTTAATATTTTCACATTTATGAGGATAAAGTGTCGTTATGGATGTGACATCTCTCCGTAATGTATGTGACAGATGTGTAATTGCCACTTATGTGACTTTGGTAAATCAAATAAAATATTTTGAAAACTGATAGATGCATTTGAGTATTTCTAAACTACTGTAAAATACTTGCTTGCAAAAAAAACCTAGAAACGGTTTTTGTATTTTGGTGAAAACTTATTTATTTAATAATTATTTTTATGGCAAGGTTTACATTTGCATGGAATTGCTCTACTTTAAAAAGCTGACAAACATGCTAATCTATGGAAGCTCCCTGTATTTTTCATCAAGCTCTTTTGAATATTCTGTCTGAAACTGGATGAAAGTATGACTTTATTGACAGTGAACATTGTTGTACTTTGATAGTCATTGGCTGCTAATATAATTTCACTATTTAGAATTTTGCAAATAATACTTTTCTCAAAATTATATATGCACTTTTCGGACTACCACTTTCTTAATAAAGCCAACTTTACCCCAATTGCTAGCACTAGAACTATGGGATATATCAAGATTTCATCTGAGAGATCCACATTTATGTCGTGGGAAATTAAGTGAAATCACTAATGTCAAAACTAATGCTTGAACTCTAAAATTGATACCGGGGTTGCATCTAAATTTTTACACTTACAACTGCATAAATGAATTTGTAATGTTTACATATTTGTATATTCATATTAAAGTGTAATCTAAATCAGTTGATTTAGTTTGTGCTGTTAATAAACCACTGTTTTGAACATGCACAACACTTTAGTTGTGAATAGCTTTGGATCTGTTTTTTACTGTTAAAATGGTGGCTATCGTTACCTAACATTAGCGGCTTGTTTATTGCACGTATACAATTGCATTCTTATTTATGTAAATGGCTTAATTACTTTTGCTGTTGCTGTAATATTTTAGGTTATTTTTTAATAAACCAAGATCTTGTTTTTATTTATTTATTGTGCATTCATATGTTGAGTTTTGTAGACTTTTGCATTAATTCTGGTGACATTTGACACATTGCATCTGTTCATTTCTGACCCACGCTTCACCACTACCAAAAATCACTCCAAAAAAATCGAATAAGAAGCATCAGTGTTTGCTTTTTAGAGAAATATTTATATCCAGTTACAATAATGATGCTAGCAGAAATGCACTGGCCTTAATATTCAGTCCTGAGACTTGGACAAGAATGAGTTTTTCAGTGAATCAGTCCTACTTTTATCTATGCATTTAGACTTTGTCAATGTTTTGCATGATTTGTCATGGTGTAACTTATGCCGAGTTCAGACTGCACGATTTTCAAAGTAGTCGTGTCACAGATGTTTTCACAATGCATGACTATCTGGGCTAGCGTTTCATCGCTGCTTTGTTTACACTGCAAGACGGATCGGCGACAGGGGCTTTCACACTGCATGATTTTACAATAGGAAGAATCGCTGACAACTTTGTCTCAGTCTCACAACCAAACACACGCTAGAAGTGACAAGGAAACAACGCAAGGTCATGCAGTATATCAATTGTTATTACTACATAAAAAGAAAAAAGCCTTTAGTGGAGTAGAAAATGTACAACTTTTGCTCACCTGGCTTTTGAAGGGGAATTCGCAATTTGTCCTCAACTTTTTTTTCTTTATCAATCTGGGTTGTGGTATTGCTCAGATGACACGTCAAACAGACATGGGTGCTGTTGCCAAATTTACACTAGTTTTTCCCTCCGTTTTTTGGGTCCAAATAAACCGAAAAGAAGCACTTTTAACTACTCCACCAATCTCCAGCTGGCCTGCAGATACCCCCTGCAGATAGGGAATGCTGCTTTGTAATTGATTATAGGTGTGATCGTAAGTTATTTTCAATTAAAATACATTTTACACGGCATGAATTGAATCGCAGACAGCTTTAAATATTTAGCATGCCAAATATCTCACTGGTGTCTGCCACTCGTCAGCGATTCTCTCAGATAGTTTTCTCTCTATCTCTCTCTCTCTCTCTCTCTTTGATAGTTCACATTGTGGGATGGTTACTCGCGTGATCCAGCACCGATTTGTCCGTGATTTCAGGCTTTTGATTTTTTTCGAAATTGGGGCTAAAATCATGCTTTCTGAACTTGGTAATAGTCATTAGTAGGCCTACGCGGAATCTGAACATGCAGATTTTTAGCCCATCATTAATTCTGTTTATTTACTTGAGTAAATGTTTAAATCTATATTTATTCAGTTTTTTAATTAATAACAGTAATATTATTGACTAATCTGAAAATATTCATCTGATTATTGTATAATGCTGTTTGTTCAGTAATATTTTCTGTCTTTTAGTAGAGATATTATATGAGAGACTTGCTTTGTTTACAAAATAAAGTGAATCTAATTGGATTAGAATTTTAAACATAAAATACATTAACTTAAAAAGATTTGGGTATTTTTTTATTTCACATATAAGGTTTTAGTTATGATACTCCCAAAATAATAACGCAGAAATCTGCAGATTTTTACTAAAATTCTCTGCAGAAATGGCAAAAACCGTCCGCAGATTCCACCTGGTCCTAGTCATAAGGAACACTTTAGGTCAATATTTATTGTTCATTACTTGATCCTTAAGTTCTAATCCTGTATATGACTTTCTTTTTCCTCTAAATCTGTTTTTCGTGTGTCTTGCTGCAGTTCACAGTATCAGACCCCAGGAAAAAGGCGTATGCTGATTTCTACACACAGTACGATTCTACAAAGGAGTTTAACGCCATGAGAGAAGCAGGAATCTTTGAAAGTGCCAGGCCTTCTGGAGAGTAAAGCAGCAAACTCATGTAAGTGGAGCTTCAAATGCACATCAGTTCTGTATGGAATATTTAGCATGTGTCACTTTTGTAATTTATATGCGCATACAGTGGGGTATATGCACGTGGACCTTTAATTTCAGCCAGCCTCAGTGCTTCCAGTGATCTGTCTTTCCATTGTAAAATTGCAACGTTTTAGGTCTGATTTCTTTAAAAATCAGTGATCTTCACTGCCTGTTAGATATACGCTATGAAGCTGGTCTCAGACTGGACTAGAAGCACAGCATTAAATTAGATTTCCCCCCGCCATGTCTTTAAACTATGACAGTTTATTTTACTCCAGTATTTTCAATGGAGTTTCTGTGCTTACCTGCTGCTTCTGACGGCGCTAGAGGTGGCATGGTTTTTCATCGTGTTTTAGGCTTGAACAACTAAATGAATGCTGAAGTCTGTTTAACTGATTGTATTTTAATTGCATTACAACATTAATGCTGTAAAAGGAACCGTATGAAACTTAAAATAGTCACATTAAGCTTTCATTAGAAGTTGATAATTGGTTTAAAAACACTAGCTGTGCATGAGCCCATTCAGTTGTCATCTCTTAGTGCCCAACTATGTTAATCGTTTTGACTAAAACTAAAATAATGCCATTTTCGTTTTCACCTGCTACTTTTTTTTTTTTTTTTTTTTTAGCTCTTAGTCCATTTTAACTATGTATAAAAGCATTTAGGCTTTCCTGTAAAATATAATGATGATAAATGAAGAACTTGTGGTGGGTTATTCGGGATGTGGTTTTCTGTCACTACTTGTTTAGCCTGCATTAATACATTCAGTGTAAGCTGCAACACAACATAAATTGTAAATGGTAATTTGTGTGTTTAATCCTTTATATCACTGCATTAGATTGTTTGAAAAACAAAAATCAAGAAATAGATTCAGTCTTTTGTCTTGAGTTGGTTACAAACAGGCAAATAACACATAGGTACTGGGAAAACAGTTTATAGTTTAGATATAACCCCTGATGTTTATGATAGATAAAAATCACCGTCATATGCATTTAACTTGACGCTCAATGAAAGTTGTAGGCAGCAGTTACATTATTTAACCAATAGGTGGAGACAACCAGCCATCAAAAATATGCCACTGAATAATTCTTCAGAAATGATGCATCTAGCAATGAAACATGAAGTTTTATAAATGAATAACTGAATCATTATTAAAAATGAGACTAAAACAATAGGAGTAATAGTGAACTGTTCAAAGTACAGAATATTTTAGTTTATTTTCTCCAGCTGATTATTTCTTTTTTCTTTGATAAAATTAAAGCTTCTAAGTTCTGTTTGTTAAAACCAAAGCTGTCTTGCAGTGCTGTTTTGGTAATAAATGGAAAGCAAATTACATTTGTCTCCTTCCCTTTTTGGCTGATCTGAAAAATGGTCATATCGGTGACTAAACCATAATGTAGTCCGAACCGTGAAATTTGTGATCAATTACACCACTAGTTTTAACCATATTCCTATCATATCTAGTGGATTTAAAATACTTATTCTGGATTTTTTAGTGCTCCGTTTCAATTCAAAGGTGTTTATTTTAATTGAACTTCCAGAAATCTCAATTCAGTATCTCTTCCAAACCATTCATTTTTATTGAAAGGAAATTAGTACATAATATTAATTACAGAAAACACGTCATACATTGGTGATGCTAATCTGTAAGAGTATATCTGTTTTGATCTGTTCACCAATGTTGATTTGCTTGATGTAAAACCACCTTCTTTTCTTTTTCTTCCAGGTTCTGTGCCCACTGCATTCCTGGTCGACAACTGAATCTTTATAAGATTATTGGAAATGAACATTGATGTCTGATGTTCTCATTAATGTAAAAAATAAACTATTGACAACCCTCATGCTGTAGTGAATTATTGGCTCTTGTATGTGAATTAAATGCTGAAATCTTGTGCAGTAGTTTATGTATATTAAAGTTGGAAAATTACATCATTGGAAAATTTATTTTAATCCCAAACTCCTAATTCTGTCCAGATATCTGTTGTTCCAATACATTTTTGTGTGAAGTAATGGATTTTACTCCTTAGAGGTTTATTATTATTATTATTATTATTATTATTATTATTATTATACATTTATTGTTAAGGATCAGATATTTAATTTTTTAAAGCAGCATAAAAGGATGTTTATTGTATCTCTTCAAGTGAAAACAGACATGCCAACTTTTTCTGAGAATGAAATCTTGTACTGTACTGTTTCTGAGTATACTAGATGTTTCTAATGTATGTTCAGTGTCAATAAGAGCACATGTAAACAAATAACACATTATTATTAACATTTCCTTCGCAACATCCCGTTTTTTTACCATAATTTTTAGAAAAATACGGATGTACCATGTCACATCCATGTACTAGCAACATCTCTATTTTGTTGCACGTTTACCCTGACTTGAGGACTTTTATTTTGACGTTCATTTTCCCCGTGAAGTGCTGCACCGGTAGTGCTTCGAAAAAGAAAAGGGGTCATTCATAGAGCAACTTGTGCTATAATGTTAGCACTCGCACTGTTGACACATGCTCCGTTTAGCTAGTAATGTTGTTCAGTTTATTCAACTTCGTTGGTTCGACCGGGTTTGTGGAGCGGGTAAGTTATTAATGGTAATGGTTTAGCTTCGCGTCTTTGTGTCTTGTCTAACGTTACCCGCGTTATCCGGGCCTTTGTGCCTGGAAGTAGACTGCGTGTTTTAACATTACTTCATTAGCTGAGTGTGGATATACTGCAAACTTAACGAAATAATGTCACCAACAATGTTTGTTTACTTATCGGACAACACACTTGGTTGTTCATTCACATTGAGTATATGCCGCAATGTGCTGTTGAAGTATTTGGCGCCTCATAGATTTGACATGACAACACACTGCTAGTAAACAAACAGTCACAATGGTTGTTTATAAAGATATACACGTTTAATATATCAGGTACGACAAGAGGTTGGGGGAAAACATTAAAATAAAATGTAGTTATTAAAATTATTACATACTATATTGATATTATATGTACACACTGCTACAGCTAAGTATATTTGAATTTATTTGGCTATAATAACAAAGGATTGCCAGTCTTTCTCGGTTTACTGCAATCATTAGGTATGGATTCGAGTTGAATGCTAATATCTTATTTGTTCTATAAAAGGCTGTTGTTTCTCCCAATTTCTAAAAAAACAAACAAACAAATTTTTAGCTTATTGTGAGTCATTTCAAGTGTTTTTTTTTTTTTTGAGAATAGCCAACATTTTTTTAAGGTCAATAAAAACGGGGTTATTGATTTTTTTTTTTTTTTATTCAATTCAATTCATCTTTATTTCTAGAGCTTTTTTTTACAATGCAGATTGTGTCAAAGTAGCTTCACATAGAAGATTATAGTGAATTGAAACAGTGTCAGTTCACCAAAATTAAATAAAAAATACCAAATATTGATTTATTAACTCCTTTAAAGTTCAATATAGGGCGAGGCAGTGGCGCAGTAGGTAGTGCTGTCGCCTCACAGCAAGAAGATCGCTGGTTCGAACCTCGGCTCAGTTGGCGTTTCTGTGTGGAGTTTGCATGTTCTCCCTGCCTTCGGGTGGGTTTTCTCCGGGTGCTCCGGTTTCCCCCACAGTCCAAAGACATGCGGTACAGGTGAATTGGGTAGGCTAAATTGTCTGAAGTGTATGATTGTGTGTGTGTGTGTGTGTGTGAGAATGTGTGTGTGGATGTTTCCCAGAGATGGGTTGCGGTTGGAAGGCCATCCGCTGCATAAAAACTTGCTGGGCAAGTTGGCGGTTCATTCCGCTGTGGCGACCCCGGGTTACTAAAGGGACTAAGCCGACAAGAAAATGAATGAAGTTCAATTTACAAGTATCTTGCAAAATGCATTTGGAATAGGATTGTGGGAAATTATTAACATTTACAATAACAAGTGTTTAGTGTTTTGGTGCTGCGTTGTTATCCTTAAAAGTTGTTATCCTTAAGATCCTTATCCTTTAATATATTCTCAAATAATTCTTCTTCTGTTTATTTCTGACTAGGTTTTTTTATTATTAATTTGGAAGCTATTGATCCTTTTCACAAGACAGTTTAATGATCATCAGCATCTTAAATCTTTGAACTTTTTAATACAAAAAAAGTATGAACATTTATATATATTATATCTAGGCATGGGATGATAACCGTTTTCAAAGTATACCGCAGTTTGAAAAAGTTAAGGTTTCAAAAGTTTCTGCAATGCCGTTCCTAAGGTATGTGTAAGACTTTTTATTTACATTTTTTGTTTGATTTTAGGACAACAGTATCTCCAGCAGAAAAGATGCTGTTTTCATTTGTACAAAAACTGAAACAAAAGACGGAAGAAGTCAATAATTTTTGTAGCCTGACACATTTACTGTTCCAAAATATTATAAAGGTTTCTCAAAATAAATTATAGTGTGTTCAAAAGGAAAAAAAGTTTTATTTTTTTTTACCCAGGCATTTAAAAAGACAATATTTTACAACAGTAATCACTATACTGTGAAAACGTGATATGATTATCCAAGGTAATCATATGGTCAGAATCTTATACCGGCCCATGCCTAATTATATCAGGCTGGTGTCCTGCTGAGTATGGCTGTTTCTCAATGTGTGTTCTTCAGTGATCTTGTGTTCTCGTGTAAGTCATAATCAACTGCCAAAGTTCAGTTCTAATAGGGTATATGCCTATCTAGTGTTTTTCCCATATTGATGAACTTCCGGTGACCTGTTATTGTGAACTTTCTTCCATTTTATACGGCTCCTTTCACAGCATTAATGTTGTAATGTCATTGAAATACATTCAGTTAAATAAACTTTGGCATTCATTTAGTTGCTCAAGCGCAAAACGAGACAAAGTCGTTTATTCGCACGCGCCTGTCAGAATCGGCAGGCTAGCGCAGAAGCTCCATTGAATATACTGGGGTAAAATAAATGCTCATATTATAAAGACATGGCGGGGTAAAATGTCATTTAATGCAGTGCTTCTTGTACAATCTGAGACCCACTTTATGTCAGATATTACTTAGCTAGTGGAGATCGCTGATTTTAAAGATGACAGACCTTAAACGCGCCAGTTTTTGCATTGGCATACAATTCGCCTGAAACGCTTAACCCAGGTTACTGGCAAATTGAAAGTCCTATTAGCATGCTTCGCCATATACCCTATACTCAAGACTGTAAAACAGAGGACGCGAGAAAGTTCCCGGCTGTGTTTTTGACATCGAGGATGCGTCGATGCATACTTGAGTGCAAAACTCGCTCGAGAAGTCCAAGAAGTCATTGCGGTTGAATAAGGAGGTGGGAAGCGCAGCAGTTCATATAAATTTATTAATTAAGTACGGAGATATAACTTATTTATCTCAGGAGTGTTCCTAAATGAAACAATGAAAGTAAACGTTACAATGAAAATCTTGATAAAGGCACAAACCCATTAAGGGTGTTGATTTTGCTAAAATTAGTATTTAAATTAGTTTTATTTGTATTATGCAACATATATTTGTAGGGTCTTTGTGCAGAGTATATATACTGAAAAGCGGGGAAAACAATAAATCATTGTACGAATGCTGTAATGTTTACATAATTTCTTGGTAAAAACGCGTGGAGGTCACGTGACCATCAGGAAAAACCAGGGAAGAGCGCAGCATCTCATTTCTCTAAGGACACATTCTCTGTTCTCCTGGGGCCTCATGTACGAAGACTTGCGTGGAAATCTTACTAAAACATTGCGTCCGCACGAAGCTGTAAATGTGCGTACGCAGAAAAAAATTCAGATGTATGAAACACTGCGTACGCCGAATCTCACGCATATTCTTTTGTACATCTGAATGAACGTGAAACTGAGCGCAACATGCACGAGCACAAAACCCCTCCCTGCCTCCTCCCCCGTATGAATATGCTAATGACTATGCTAATGGCAAAACCCAACGAAAAAGCAATGGCAAAATCAAGCAAAAAGAGAAACTTTGAACAGAATGTGAAATGGAGGTGCTGCTTTCGGAGGTAGACCGGAGAAAAGCGGTGTTATTTGCAAGTTTGTTCTCCGGAATTAACAACAAAAGAAAAAAATAGAGTGGGAGTTTAGCTGATACGGTTAACACAGTTGGGTCTGAACATCGCACTGAGTGCATTTAAAAAAGAAATAGTGTGGTTTATAACTGAAAAATGTTGCAGTACCCTAAGCGGTCTCAGTGGCGCACCTCATAAGAAGCATGAGATCATGTACAGACATATTCGAGCGTCAACTCGGCTCGAATCCAGCGTCTGATAAATTCTTTATTCTTTTTTCCCCCGCTACATATCAGATTTTGCCCACTGTTTATCAAGAGAAAGACAAGTAGGAATCATCAATAAGTTTGTGCATCATATTTTATTTGCACATTTATTGAATGGAAATGTTTCTGATTCACGCATGCAAATTCATCTTCAGATAGTGTCTTTATAGCAATGTGTGTGCGGTAGATTGCTCAGATTACATTGCGACTGCTGCAATTTGCGCTTTAATGTTTAGCTGGTCAACTGTATGGTATGGAAATCTTACATACCTACTATATGAACCCGTCTCATACAGCTGCCATTGCAAGGCTCAGACACTTTGTAGAGAAGAATTTAACACAACTGCCTCTAGGAGTCGCCAATGGAAATAAAACAGACACGCACAAAAAATGTGCGTACGCCAGCCAGAAAGCTGCCGTGAACCTGCGCACATTCCCACGTTCAGTTCATTGTTAGTAAATCCAAACATGAGCGATTCTGAGCGTGAAACCTGGCGTACGCAAAGTTTTTGTGCGTACGCAGCGTTGATACATGAGGCCCCTGGTCTCCTGACTTCGTTCTTTCGAGGTAACTTGGAAAGACCCTTCTTCACAAGAACGTAAGTCCATTCTGTGCGTTCTTGGAATTGAGAAACAGCCAATAGCTTCTTGCTTCAACACACCTGCCAGGAAGTTTCTAGTAAATCTAATAAAGCTGCAGTCACACTGGGCTTTTCCTTCCATAGACTTCCATTCATACGCACGTGAATGCGTCAGACCGGAAACGCGGGGTCATGCAACAAGTTCCGCAGGTTGCTGCGGTGCAAAGTTAAAGCTTGGTGAACTCTGACCTGCGAAATCCCATCACTTGACTACGTGAGACCAACCGAGGACCAAAACATGACCTCTCTGTACAGAAATTTAAAACATTGAGCAATCGCTCGCTTTTAAAAATGTCTAATAAGCTTGTTTAATCCCGCCCCTTTTCGCATGCTCAAACTTTAATATGACCGCAGTTTAAGAGCTTGATTGGCTGCTTCAGGTGTGTTTGATTGGGGTTGGAGCTAAACTCTCCATGGCTGCGTCCGCAACTGCCTACAACTCAGTAGGTACTGCATTTGAATTTAAACGTACTTCTCGGCCGTTAAAAAAAGTATGTTCTGTACAGTATGAATGTAAAAAATATGATTAAAATTCGGACATACTACATCCGCCATTTTGTCATGGTCACGTGACCTTCCTGCGTCAGTTGCGTCGCTTCATTCCCATTCATGAATTCTCTCACGGGGCATCATGGGATATAGCAGCATGCGTGGGATGTGAAAAGGATTCATTGTTAATTGTGTTTTTCATTGATAGTAAAAACAATTGTGATAGTTTTTTACTAAACTAATAAATTAAGTATAATTGCAAAAAGTTAAAGCTGTTTTACTCTATTGTTTGGATGTTTCAAAAGGAGATGCACAAAATTATGTCTATAATCCAATTTTAAAATTTATTAATAAACATTTTAGGGGGCATGGTGGCTTAGTCGTTAGCACTGTCGCCGTATAGCAAGAAGCTCGCTGGTTCGAGTCACGGCTGGATCAGTTGACATTTCTGTGTGGAGTTTGCATGTTCTCCCCATTTTTGTGTGGATTTCCTCTGGGTGCTCCGGTTTCCCTCACAGTCCAAAGACATGCGGCATAGGTGAATTGGGCAAAAATTGCCTGTAGTGTATTAGTGTGTGCATGGGTGTTTCCCAGTACTGGGTTGCAGCTGGAAGGGCATCCACTGTGTAAAACTTATGCTGGATAAGTCAGCATTTCATTTCACTGTGGATCTCTAATAAATAAAGAACTAAGCTGAAGGAAAATGAATGAAAAATAAACATTTTCTTTTCTCAAGTTTTAATCTATAAATGTGTCTGTGTTCCGTCCACAGGTGTGCGAGTGGAGCTGTGATCTGCGCTCTTCTACAGTCTGAGCTTCTCCTCCTCCTCCTTTGACTGTAACTCTGAACACTTGTAGACCTCCATCTCTCTGTCACCCACATGAGCGCATCGTTCTCCTCCCGCCGGGCCGAGCGCCATGCCTGACCGGGATAGTGCCTACCTGGCAGGTGGCGGTGGGAGTGGCAGCGGGGACGAGGGAGGGTCTGGGACAGGGGTTGGGGAGGGCCGAGCAACAGCAGTGGGTGGCTCAGCAGGCGGCACGGGTGGAAACGGAGGTCCCGGAGCCATGGGTGGAGGCGGAGCTTTAGGAAACGGCAACAGCTCCAGTAGTGCTTTGGGACTAGATGGCGTTTGTAGGGACTTTTTACGCAATGTGTGCAAGCGTGGCAAACGATGCCGCTTCCGACATCCTGACTTCAATGAGGTTCCAGATCTTGGAGTGCAGAAAAACGAGTTCATCTTCTGCCACGATCACCAGAATAAAGAGTGTGTGCGGCCCAATTGCAGATTCGTTCACGGGTCAAAGGAAGACGAGGACTATTATAAGAAAACAGGAGAGCTTCCGCTCCGGCTCAGAGGAAAAGTGGCGGCCGGATTGGGACTGTCTCCGACCGATCTCCCGTTTAGTCGTGGAGAGGTGCCTATTTGCCGGGATTATTTGAAAGGAGAGTGTCAGCGGGGGAATAAATGCAAGTTTCGGCATGTCAGGAAGGACTACGACTATGAAGCCTCGTCCCGGGTTGGAGTGGGATGTATGATAGGAGTCACCGGTGGTGTTAGCGGGATGGTGAACTCTGGGGGCGGAGGTGCAGGAGGTGTTGGTAGTGCTTGTGGAGGGATGGCTGGACTTGTTGCTGGTGGTGTAGGGAACTATATTGGGATGGGGTGTCCCAGTCTGGGAGGATGCAGAGAACAAGGTCTGTCGGGTGGAGTAGGCGGTGGAGGTTCATTGAGCGGCTGTTTGTCAATTGGGACAGCGGGTCACAGGCGATACGACAGGGGCCCGTGCTCTGTCTACGACCCTTTGTTTGAGAATGGCATTTTTGAAGCGGGGCCCGTGGAGGCCCCTGTGGACCACACTGTCCTCCAGCTGAAGAGACGGCGTTTAGAGGGCCTGCGACTTGCTGACGGGACCAGCGGTGGACATTATGATCTTGGTCTTCAGGCCACACTGGCGACCCGACCTGTAGAGTATCGCTTACTGGAGGAGGAGAATGCCCTGCTGAGGAAGAGAGTGGAGGAGCTGAAGAAACAGGTGAAACGGGTGCTTCTACACCAATTGTTTTAGTATGCCCCAAATTTTAGTATGTAAAATGTTTCAGCATACCAAAAAGGTTTTAGTATGGTATGTGTTTATGCAAGTGAGACAAGTGTGGTGCTAATCGACAAGAGAAGGCACCAATAATGGTCCATACACCATACTAATCAAGCAATACAACTGTTTATTGCTGGTACACACAGCTGATATCAATTATCCCAATAATATTCAATAATCATGAATCATACTCATGAACATCATTAATCGAAATACAACAAAATTGCATAAAAGGCTTATAATGCGAAATAAAGATGAGGTTACATGAATAAAAGATAGATAATGATAACTTCAAGCAATTTGATACAAGTATATACAACCTCAGAGACGTGCCATCATTTTCCTCTTCAAAGACTGGGGAGCCCGTTGCAGTCACATTGGAAAACCAACACGTGTGTCCGAGAATGCCGGGCGATGCGCGCTTATCCCACGGCTGAGCTTCCAATGTTTCAGCAAGAAACCCTCACCTTTATAGTCAAAATTTGGGTGCTGGCCAAAGGTTGGCCTAATAGGTAAGATAGAAGCGGAGTTGATCAGGCCCACCTCCTCTCTCAGCTAGTTGCACATTGTTTCTGATTGCAAAGCACTAATTTGAGGTTTGTAGTGTCAGCATGATTATCTAGAGTCAATATTCTACCTCCTGAAATTTGGAGAAAGTTAACCTTAAGGTCCGGAGAGCCTTCTCTGGTTATTTGGTCATGCCTAAGTGTCAATATTTTACCACATGAAATTTGGAGAAAGGTGTGAAGTTAACCTTAAGGTCATGAGACCCTTCTCTGTTCATTTGGTTGTTTGTTGAGCGCAACAGAAGAAAAAACAAAAAATATCTCATTTGTTACACCAATACTTTTATTTTAATAAACAGACTTTTTGTAGTAGGGTTGTAACAAGTATAGACCCTTTTCACAATTCCGGGTTTTTCAGTAGCGGAGGTCGCCATAGTTGGTAAAAACTTTGAGTTTGTACAATTTTTTTTTTTACAATCTTATTTGCTCAAATAACAAAAGAAAAACTTGATGATGATGTTATGAAGACGTTAAGAAAAAGAAAAAAATGTCTGAGAGTGATGTGGCAGCCAGAGCAGAGAATAACGTCAAATTAACTGTCTTGACCCATAGACGCATTGGAAACGCCTCGCACAAGCGGTAATTAGTTTTATGTAAATTGAAAGCAAAGTTTATGCATTCATAAACTTTTAATATGTATGTTTGTGTATGTAATCACCTAATAAAATTAAAAGGTTTAACATGAAATATTCCTTATATATTTTATATAGTCTATTTATATAGACTAATATTGTATATATATTGTAGGTAGTGCTGTTGTCTCTCAGCAAGAAGGTCACTGGGTCGCTGGTTCAAACCGCCGTTCAGTTGGCGTTTCTGTGTGGAGTTTGCATGTTTTCCCTGCGTTCGCGTTGGTTTCCTCCGGGTGCTCCGGTTTCCCCCACAGTCCAAAGACATGCGGTACATGTGAATTGGGTAGGCTAAATTGTCCGTAGTGTATGTGTGTGTGGATGTTTCCCAGAGATGGGTTGCGGCTGGAAGGTCATCCGCTGTGTAAAAACATGCTGGATAAGTTGGCGGTTTCTTACGCTGTGGCGACTCCTGATTAATAAAGGGACTAAGCTGACAAGAAAATGAATATTGTATATTATTTTATAATATACTTTTTATAATATATTATGTTATTTCACAGAATTAATACCTTTATAAATCAAATTTTTTCTGTTTTTGCAATAATACAAGTAATTTATAGGTGTATATGCACGTGTTAAATTTGAATTAAATCCTACACTGTGCCTCTAGCCATCTGTTTGCTTCAAAGCCTTCTCTGGCTTCTCTGGTGTCAGGAAGGTGGATGGTGAGGCGACAAGTTTGCTTAAACTTTTATGATGCCTCATCTTCTGACTCTCAGTATGTTCTATCGGGTGGAACAGATTTGATGTGTTCCCGCTGCTATTCGGCACCACTCTCCCGCACATTTTGCAGAGCACCGACCCACTTCCGAACCACTTCCACCAAAGCCGAACCACTTCCACACCACTGCATTAGTCTTTCCTCTCTCATCAACTAATTCGTCTGCATTCTTACTTGTGGAAGCTTGTTCATTCACATCTGTGTTCAGTGCACACTTCAGGGCAAACTTCTGCGACGGAGCTTAAGCAACTGCTGTGCTGAGCGCTGGCAGCGTGTCTGTGATGCAAGTCATCACGCAAGTGACATCAGGCTCTTTCTGACGGCTGAGCTTTGAACATCATTCAGTGAAAAATGATACAATGTATAATCTCTTTTAAATCTAATAATACATATATATATATATATATATATATATATATATATATATATATATATATATATATATATATATATATATATATATATATATGCAAATTTATATTGAAATACTAGAAATTTAAGCGCAGTTTAAAAATCATATCATCGTTATAAAATTTTTTTATTGCGTTATATATTGATATCGAATTATTGCCAAGCCCTAGTTTTAAATATATGGCCATATTTGCTATAACTTTGCATGAACACATCAAGTTTACCTGGAGAAAAAATAGCTGATCTCTTTTTTTTTTCCAGATGTTGCCACGGTCACTCATAATATCTGTGCTCCATTGATAATGTCTTTTCTATAGTCGCAGTGTGCACACTTAAATCTGCAGTCTCACTGCACTTTTCTCCCCACAGACTTTTATTCACAGCCACACGAATGCGTCAGACTGGAAACGCAAACTCGTGCGACTAGTTTTGCAGTTCGATGCGTTGGAAAGTTCAAGCTTGGTGAACTCTTACCTGTGAAATCGCATCACATGACTGCATGAGACCAATCGAAGATTAAAACATGACCTCTCTGTACTTTACAGAAATTGAAAATATGGACCATTCGCTCGCTTTTTTCAACATCTAATCATTTGTTTGATTCCCGCGAATCCCGCCTCCTTTTCGCAGCGCTGTACAACAGAATTTTGCAAACACAAACTGCAGTGTGACCGCAGCATAACTCTGAATCAGTCTACTCAGACTTAATTGACTTAACTCAGATGAGTTGTCCTGAAACAGAAATAAAGTCAACTCTGAGTTCAGGTTTAAACTCTGACGCTGTTGATCCTCCTTACTGAAACGGGCCCCAGAAATCAAATGCAGTCAGCTGCCTGTTCAAATACTGCATGTGGCTGCTGTTAGTCTGCTCAGTGCTCAACCAGTCCCTTCTAGATTTTGTCTAAAATGACTGATTTTGCAGTGAATTTGTGGCAGTTCTTGTTGTCTTGCTGTAAAAATACAGACAAAATTACAGATCTGCTTAACACAACCTCTGCCTGTTTTCAATTGAAATTCAGCTTTTTAGTCAGTGAAAGTCAGCGAATTCAACATTTGTCTTGAACCATGATTATAAATCTTGCAAACACCAAAGCAACACCTTCTACGTCTGATGTTAAGATCAGTATGAAAATCATTGAATTTAAATGCGGCACAACTGTTTATACATTCTCAATGTGTTCGGAGTGAAGCTCCAAGTCAAACTCACACGTTTCCTCTTATCCTCAAGGTCTCCAATCTCATAGCCACCAACGAGGTGCTTCTGGAGCAGAACGCTCAGTTTCGTAGCCAGGCTAAAGTGATGACTCTGTCCTCCACCCCTGCTCCGTCTGAGCAGAGTCTGGCACCCCCTGTGGGCTCTGTGAGCTCCTACAACCACGGTATTGCACAGACACACACCACCCTGAGCAGTGCAGGTCTGCAGACCCGTCCTGTCACTCAACAAGACCTGGTCGCTCCATCTGGCGCGCCGACGGCTCCTCCAGCTAATGCAGCACCACCTACAGCACCGCCTCCGCATCTCAACCCTGACCCCATCTCTGCCGCCCTCGCCCAGACTATTGCCCAGGGAATGGCACCGCCTGTCTCAATGGCTCCGGTTGCAGTTTCTGTGGCGCCGGTTGCTGTGTCCATGGCACAACCGTTACCGGGCATCACCATGAGCCATGCAACCACGCCAATGGTAACGTATCCCATCGCTAGTCAGAGTATGAGGATCACAACCTTGCCTCATTAGCATGGGCAGATGACGTCAGCAATATATATTAAAAAACTCCAAATCAGGCTGAACTTTCTCGAAATTCTTTCTCTTTACTGAGAAATTAGCTTTCTCAGGTGAAGGATGTGTTTTGACTGAACATGCGTACAGGTTTCTGTGTACAGTAGGATTTTCTTTTGTGAATTTATGGAATATATTTCAGTTTTTTCTTGCCATGCTTTAGCGGATGATTGCCTTTAAGAGACTCTTGGAGACATTTGAGGGATGTGACTGTTATGCTAATCACTACAGAAGGATTGTGAATTTACTCGTTAGCTGTTTTGTTAATTTTTATGTGTCTGAGCTGATTATTAGTCTTTTGCACAGAAATAATGAACAAGGTACTGTATGTTAAACACTTTTTAAAGTGATAGTTCACTCAAACATTTGATTTTCTTTCATTATTACTTGGCCTCAAGTGGTTATAAACCAATGAGTTTCTAATATTTTGAAGAAAACAAAAAAAAAACTGTATCCCTTGGCTTCTGTACACCCAAAAAAAGCTTATTTTGGCTGCTTGTTCAAATTACTTTTAAACTACAAACAATTTTTGGGACAACTTTAATTTTTCATGTTCAATCCACTTAAATATGTTAAGTTAACTTAATTGATTTGTGTTTGGACTAAGCTTGACACGATACTGGAATTCAGTACCAATCGATACTGAAATTTTACAAACGTCCATTTCCCGCTAACATTTTAGCGCTGTTGAGCTCGTTCTTAAACAGCGCTGATTTGCCATAGTGTTCACGTGCTTAACAGAGTTGACTCTGATTGGCCGTAAAGGTCATCAGTTCACTGTACTCTCACCGATGTTTACTGGGAGTAATCACAGACACAGGGAAACTGGAGCATTTTAAAGTCGCGATTCATCAGTGGATCGCTCGTATGTCAGCTTATAGACAAACCAGCTGATGGACGAGACTTTAAAACTCTCCAGTGTCCCTGTATCTGTGGGAACACTCAGTAAACAGCAGTGACAGTTCAGTGAACTGATGACCTTCACAACCAATCTCAGTCATTTCTGTTGAGCACGTGAACACTACGGCAAATCAGCGCTGTTAAAGACAACAGCGCTCAAATCTTAGCAGGAAACGAACGTTTTTAAAATTTCGGTACAGATAGGTATCGAATTTCAGTATCGTGACAGCCCTAGTTGAGACAACATGAATGAATTGTGTGGAGCATTTTTTTTACTGTGCACTAGGAAAAACAAGTAATGTGTAAGTAAATGATTACAGGTTTCCAGCTTTCTTCAGTGTGTGTGTGTGTGTGTGCGCGTGCGTGTGTGTAAGTGTGTGTGTGCGCGTGTGTGTTCAACACAAGAAAGGGAATCAGAAAGGTTTGGAAAAAGTCAAAGGGGAGTAAATGGATAGTTTTTTAAATTTTGGATGAACTGTCCCTTTAACTCCTGTCACATTTTACGTCAAACAAAACAAAAAAGGCATAAAATGTGTTGTGTTTCTTTCTTCGGGAAACTGAATGGATGCATTTTTCTGTCAGAATGCAGGTCATGTTTTCTTCATCTTGGGTGAGTATCATTCTGAAATGTTGATGGAAACAAATATATATATATATATATATATATTTCTTATCAAACTAAATCTTCTGTTTTTCCTTTGATCACTTTCTCTTTTCTCGAAAATATAATCAGATCACCTGAAATGGATTTGTGTTCAACAGGATCTCAAATACTTTAGTTTATATAATTTAATTCTTACTTGTTTTTAAAGTTGTTCACTTCAAACTGAGCCGACGGTTTTATAGGAAGTTCATTATTTGTTTGTAGCTATAAGGCTGTGCAATATGACAAAAATCTCATATCACGATAGAAGTCATCTCATATCATGATAATTATATATAAATGTCAGGATATAGTAACATTTATGTAAATTCAATCAATTGATAGTTTGTACATATTGGCCACATTCATTCATTTTCCTTTGGCTTAGTGTTACAACCTCCTGGCTCAAGAAAGTAGCAACAAAACCAAATAAAGATCCAAACCAGAAAATCAAATCAACTTAAATATATTTAATCAAAAATTAAGTGAAATAATACATGAATATAAATAAAAGAAAACAACAAAACTGAAGAGGGAAGGATGAACACCCGCAGTCCTGTTCTCTCGGTTTTTATCCAAACCCACATCAGAGGTAACACACCACACCTGGTCCAAACGTCAATCACGGCAAAACACCGCACCTGTTCAAAACTCCAGAAGAATACCAGATCATGGAACACCTCCATCTAGTGGACACTGGTTAACAAAACCTTACGACCGTCACACTTAGTCTCTTTATCCATCAGGGGTCACCACAGCGAAATGAACCACTAACTTATCCAGCATATGTTTTACATAGCAGATGCCCTTTCAGCTGCAACCCAGTACTGGGAAACACCCGTACACATTCACACACATACACTATGCCCAATTTAGTTTATTCAATTCCCCTATAGCGCATGTCTTTGGGCTGTGTAACTGGAGTACCCGGAGGAAACCCATGCCAACACGGGGAGAACATGCAAACTCCACACAGAAATGCCAACTGACCCGGCCAGGACTCAAACCATCGACCTTCTGGCTGTGAGGCGACAGCGATAACCACTGAGCCACCGTTTTGGTATATACTCAAAAATGTACTCATGTGATCGTATTTCTAACTTTATTTAAATCTTCAGGGCAAATGTTTAATTAAAAATGTGGAAATAAAAAAATGTTAAAATATAAAACACATTCTAGACACTAATAAGTAAAGGTCCAGCAAAAAAATAAAAAAACATTACTAAATAAAATTCAAAATGTAAATAACCCCGTAATGGCATGCAATATATCGCACTCATATAATGTATTTTTGGATGCCAAAATTATTATTATTATTATTATTTCTTTATTATTACTTTTTGTCTCTACAGTATATATCTCAATGCTAGTCGTCTCATGATGGTATATACCACGACATAGTACCATTTATGTAAACTCAGTCAATTAATAATTTATATATATATTCATACACACACACACAGTTGAATTCATAATTATTTGCCCCCCGGTTTATTTTTTTCCCAATTTTTCTTAAATAGAAAGAAGATTTCTGCAACAAATTTCTAAACATAATAGTTTTAATAACTTATATCTAATAACTGATTTATTTTATCTTTGCCATGATGACAGTAAATAATATTTGACTAGATATTTTTCAAGACACTTCCATACAGCTTAAAGTGACATTTAAAGGCTTAACCTGGTTAATTAGGTTAACTAGGCAGGTTAGGGTAATTAGGCAAGTTATTGTATAACCATGGTTTGTTCTGTAGACTACAAAAAAAGCTTAAAGGGGCTAATAATTTTGTTCTTAAAATGGTGCTTAAGAAAATAAATAAGTGCTTTTATTCCAGCCAAAATAAAACAAATAAGACTTTCTCCAAAAGAAAAAATATTATCGGACAGACTGTGAAAATTTATAGTTTATAATTTATAGGGCTTAGTTTTGACTTCAACTGTATATATATATATATATATATATATATATATATATATATATATATATATATATATATATATATATATATATATATATATATATATATATATATTGGGAACTTGTAAAGGACTATTTATTTCTTTGCATTTTAAAGGATATACTCAAAAATTTACTCGTGATAATATTTCTTTATTTAAAACTTCAGGGCAAATGTTTGAATAAAAATAAACTTTGCAAAAACTAATGATTACAGGTTTAACATAAAAAGTAAAAGATATCGCTAAATAAAATGCTAAATGGGGCGACATGGTGGCTCTGTGGTTAGCACTGTCGATTCACAGCAAGAAGGACGCTGTTTTGAGTTACGGCTGGGTCAGTTAGCATTTCTGTGTGGAGTTTGCATGTTCTCGCCATGTTAGTGTGTGTTTCCTCCGGGTGCTCTGGTTTCCCCCACAGTATAAAGACATGCGCTGTAGGTGAAATGAATAAGCCAAATTGTCTGTAGTGTATGTGTGTGTCGGTGTTTCCCATTACTGGGTTGTAGCTGGAAGGACATCCGTGCGTAAAACACAAGCTGGAATAGTTGGCGGTTCATTCCAATGTGGCCACGAACTAAAGGAAAATGTATGAAAATGCAAAATGTAAATATCCGTAATGGCATGTAATATTGCGCTCACACAAATAATGAAAAGTATTACCGTAAACATTGCATTTTGTGTGACCACAATTATTACTATTATTTTCATAATTTGTCTTATGTGTAGCTGTTTCACATTTTGTTGAATTAGTGGTTAATTCATATGAAATCATACATTCTCATATCATTTATTTGTGTTTGTTTATACATGCATTTATCATAAATTAGGGTTTGGAATCTAGGGTGGTTAAATTGTAGATTTATAATGTAAAGGGTGTTGTTAGCTATTTCTGAGTTGTTTAATTTGGCCTGTTTTCAGTCTTGTTTAATCTGATAAACCACCAGCTTTAGGTCTGCAGGTCATGAGCACATCTCTGGATACTCTGGACTGAGAACACAAAGTGTCTCCTGAAGGATTTTACAAATGTAATAAATTGCAAGGAAAGCTGCAGGTTGCCGTCTGATGAGAGAATCTACTCTGGCAGGTACTTTCCCTTTCTTTTTTTACATTGAAAGAATTGCAGGTCAGTTTTGATTAGTCAAATTTTATTCAAAGTCGAGGTCTTATTTTATTAAGTAGCATAATATCTGTAAAATAGTTATATGCAGGGTGTGAATTACAGGGGGGTTTGGGGAGTTGACCCCCATAAATAATGCTTGATCCCCCCTGAAGTACATCAAAACAACATGTATGGGGGGGTCAGATAAATAATTTGCTCTGTTTTGTATTTTAAATAATAATAATGTTAATAATTGAGTTGAAAAATGAATAATAATTAATTATATAAATATACATTTGACCACCCCTATTGGATCATACCATTGTGAATGCTTAATTAGAAAAACTCATATTAAGAGTTCACACTTAGCTGATGATTGATTATGAAGTGTGTTTGGCATGCTGTCCTAATAGAGAGCCCTAAGCTTGTAAGATCCTCGAGCCCAGGGCTCCCTTGCGTTTTTGAGGGGAGGTTGAGCTCAGGTAGGTCTCAAGAACCCAACCCCCCTGCTTATTAAATGCTAATGGCATAAATGGTGCCGACAGGGGCACAACTACACATTTACTGAGGGGTGTGTAGGTTCAAGTTTTGTGCCCATCCCCATCTGCCCAAAATGTTTTATTTTAATAAAATGTTATGGGCAAACTTTAATATTTTTTTGTAACTAAAATTAAAATTGTTTTGGGCAAAAAAAGATACCACAAGGCCTTATGTATCAATATGATACATAATAAATTTATAAAAACTTGTATATGGTATAAAATGGATCTTGATAAAATGATTAATAAACATTTTAGTTCCAAAAAAATGTGAATATTCTGACTATTTGTTCATGTGTCAGTTTTAACAAGTTTAGGAATCATTATAATCAAGTATATTCAAATTTATGTGAAATAGGTCTGTACTTACATAAACATACATTTTGTGTGATCCCTCTTATTTTGGCAAAATAATTAATTATTTAATTATAAATAATAATAATAAAGAAAGAACAAAATGTCAGATTAATCTTATAACTTTTGACCTCAACTGTAAGTAAGTATGATTTGACAGTTTATTTTGAGAATTCTTTTTTTGAAAATCTAAACAGTTACATCTACATGAATAATTTACACTTGGCTGTGTGACTGAATGTTATTGTGTTAAATGATTTTAAATTAGAAATGTGTGTGCCAACGTATCCAACTAATGGTATCATTTTTTCTTTTTTATTTATTAAAATGCAATATTATACACGTATAATATGCAAAATAAGCATGTGTAGCGCCCCTATGCGCCGCATATACTGCATACCCCCTTTTTGCGCCACTGGGTGCCGATTTGATTATTCACCTTTGTCACATGTCTTTGGACTGTGGGAGGAAACCAGAGAACCCGGGGGAAACCCACAAGAAGCACGGGAGAAGCTTTATAATTGCAGCAAACTGTCTGGAAGCATTAAAAGTTTCCTAGAAGATGTCCTAAATCTTTTTTAGGGGGGTAATAATGTCCAAAATCTCATTGACCCAGAGACTGTTTAGACACATGTCACTGATGAGAAGATGATGGATGTTTCCTGTATGATGACTAAAAAGGCCTAAACACACAGCAGGCACAAGACCTTAACATGACGTCAGAGTGACATAGCCTAATGTCATGGGTACGATGCATTTTGTTAGGAAATGAAAATCAGGTTGACATCAGAACTCAACGTCAATGTCAAACCTAAAACCAACCAAATATCAACGTCTAATGATGTTACAGTGGTGTGAATGTTCCCAATATGACATTTATCAGATGCTGGATCTTGGTTGCCATAACTGACGAATAAATGTCAGTATATGACGTCAATATGGCATTGGCTTAATATGTTGGTTCGACGTTGGATTTCGATCACTTTTTAACACAACCTAAAATCAACCAAATATCAACGTCATTTGATGTCATTATTAGACATTAAAATAAGATTGTCCTTAGATGCTGGCTAGACATTGAATTTCGGTCACCTGACATCACAACCTAAACGTAACCTAATATTAATGTCTTATGACGTTGTGTGCCTTCTGGGCAATTAATAAATGCACTACAGACTGTTACGTTTACACACATCCACAAATTACATGTACACGCATCAGGTTTTCACAGCGTAAAACCCACTACTCACTACTCTTAAAAAAAAAAAGAAAGAGTACTACTCTTGAGTACTTTTATAAGGTCTACTTTTTACTCATACTTTGAGTAATATAAACAACAGATAGTTTTACTCTACTTGCACTACATTTTTTGACCAGTAATGGTACTTTTACTGGAGTATGATTTTTAAGTACTTTTTCCACCACTGTGTATACACCAATACACTTAATGCACTCTGCTATATGTTAAAACACTGACGGTTTACTATAAAATAGCCTACTATAGTATTTTTTCATGTGAGAAGCTTTAAAGCTTTAAAAGAAAAGTTGTCTTTTATTATGGGCGTGGATATGTTATGATGTAGTAATTATCCCTTAAACCAAACCAGTTACCGTATTTCACCCAGTACTTTCTTTGGTAACTTCTTTGTTGACTAGTCACAAATGCATTTGATGTATTTTAAACTAATGACCAGTCAGAAATGACAACAGCCAGGGCAAACCCATATGAAGAAATATAATAGTATGTGTAGTAAATACTATAGTAAAGTTTTTGAAATAATCTACTGTGGCGATTCCATAATACTTAAGGGGCGACATGGTGGCTCAGTGGTTAGCACTGTCGCCTCACTGCAAGAAGGCGATTATGAGTTGGCATTTTTGTGTGGAGTTTGCATGTTCTCTCTGTGTTGGTGTGGGTTTCCTCAGGGTGCTCTGGTTTCCTCCACAGTCCAAACACATGCGCTATATATATAGGTGAATTGAATAAGCTAAATTGGCTGTAGTGTATATGTGTGAATGTGAGAGTGTATGGGTGTTTCCCAGTGCTGGGTTGCAGCTGGAAGGGCATCCGCTGTGTAAAACATGCTGGATAAGTTGGCAGTTCATTCCACTGTGGTGAGCCCTGATGAATAAAGGGACTAAGCCGAAGGAAAATGAATGAATTAACTAGTTTTCTACAACAAGGGTATATTACACTGCAATACTGTAGTAAAAACACGTATGCTAAAGTATGTATTAGTTTATCAGCTAGTGCGCTTATTTTAGTGTAACTTATTTTAATAAGTTAGTCAGGTTTCCATTAACTTTTTTTTAATTATGCAAAGTTTAGCTTGATAATTTAGACCCTTTGATTGATGTAAATTGAGATTAATAGAAATGTTCATTTGATTCAACAAACAAATTCAACACTGGAGTGTGCTTTAGCATTCATTGCATTTTTTGTGATGGTTGTACAGTATACCTATAGCTGTAGTACAGTGATCGGCATATATAAGTACACCCCTCACAAATTTATCTTTTAAATTCATACATTATTAGGAAGCTTTACAATATTATATGTGCGCGTATACAGGGTGGGCCATTTATATGGATACACCTTAGTAAACTTATTGGGAATTTCAACAGAAAAACAATGGTATGCTTGGTTTTAAACATAACTTTATTTTTTCATGAGTTACAAGCCCCTTCACATATATTAATGTGCCATGCACAAACAGGACATTAATATCACCAACCATTACCATTTTATTTAGGTGTATCCATATAAATGGCCCACCCTGTACATTAGATTAGTCAGTACTGAAGCCAAATCTGGAGCTTATCTAACAAAATAACTTACGATAACAGTTAAAAAAACTAGTACAACCAAATTAATGTATAGAAAAATATGAAATACAAATTTAATAGAGAAAAAATCAAGAGAAGCAAAAAAATTTAACATTTAGTTGAAATTTTATAGGTTGTAATTTAATTTTGCAGTATGTTGCTTGTATTTAATTGTCACTCTAAAAAACGTTGAGTTACTTATTTAACCAAATGGTTGAGTTAAACATTTTTGGTGCATTGTTGGGTTATTTTTAACCTTTATTAGGTTATTTATTAATAACTCAACCAGTGGGGTTAAATATTTGGCGCTTTGTTGGGTTATTTATAACCTTTATTTGATTATTTATTTTATAAATATTTGAATTTCAGTCGACTGATTTAACTGACACAGAACAGCTGTATTATTGTGCGTGCGTAATGCTGTTTTTGCAGTATAAAGTTTATTTAAGCTGTAATGCAATATTTTTTTAATCAAATTACCTCTCTGTGTCTCGTTTTTTACATCCTTTTCACCATCCAAGACCATCTTTTAGAAGCTTTTGGATGTGGTTTAAATGTATTGTACATGGTGGACACTGAGCGAAGCTTGCTGCAGCTGCTGGACAGTCTCTACAGCACACACAGAGCTCCATATTGTGCTCTATCAACAGAGGATTTCCTGTTTTCAGTTTATAACTGTCTGTATTCTGTTTCTTAATTGTTTCTCAATTGTTTAATTGATTCTTGATTTATTTTAACAAAAGTGTCTGCGACTAAATTGAAAATAAAGCATTTTCAATATTTTTGAATACTGTGTGTTATTTATTTACACAGTCATAATTATAAAATTAATAGTAGTACTAGTAATAGTAGCAATAGTTATACCAGAATAGAAAAAATAACATTTAATCAAAATAACCCAATGCATTGGGTAAAATTTTTATAACCCATAGTTGGGAAGGTGCTATAATAATCTATAGTTGGGTTATATGTTGGGGTATTTTAACCCAACTATTTTAACATAAATATTATCTTTCAGTTTGTAAATATGTTTGGTGACTAAAAATTATTTTTAATGAATTTATATGTTTAATAAAGCTGTTGTTTAAATACACCAAAATGCATTGCCTGTATTCACTGAGAAATGGATAAAAAGATTAATTTTCAAGATGAGATGTACTCAATTATGCTGAGCACTGTGTATCAAAACACTGACTTAATATAAATGACTAGTATTTATTCATGTGAAAAGCTTAAAGCTTTAAAAGAACAAGTTGTCTTCTGCAGCTTTCAACAAAGTTTCAACTGCGTCGTTTAGTGTGGGCGTGGATATGCCAGCATAACGGTGCAGGCCACAATACACACACACACACACACACACACACACACACACACACACACACACACACACTGCAAAAAGGAAAAACAGCGTCAGGGCAGAAGCGTTGAGGTGGGCTTTTCTGCTTTCTCGTGCTTGACTATTATTGATCCGCAGTGATCAAGCAGATCCGAGTCATCTGCAGCTCCTCAGCGAAGTCCAAACACACACAGAGAATCAGACTCTACGGCTTTTATGTGGAATTTGAGTTGCAAATCGCCGCTGCGGTTTGTTATCGAGTCGACTTTAGCAGCATTTGCCTACAACATCCAAAACTACAATGTCGCATGTAGATTCAGAGACGACAAATGACTCGCAGAAGATTACCGAACCAGCGCAGGACAGTTCGTCTGGAGAAATGGACGTCCCGAAGACCAAATTGTTCGACGCCAAGGCGATCTTGTGGACTTTTGGGAAATGTCTCACCGCCTTGTTGCCCGTGTACCTGGCCGGGTACTATCGGATGAGCACCAGTTTGGTGGTGTTTGGGATGATGGTTTACGCAGGATGGAAACACACGCGTGAGGCGAAGGAGGCGAGACTGAGGTCTGCCATACAGCTAGTAAACGACGAGCAAGAATATGTGTCCTCCAAATCATTTAGAAGTAAAAGAGACCTGCCTTCTTGGGTAAGAATGCACAAAAGTCTGTCTTTTGGTTTTTGTGGATGAATAACTCCACTATTTATGATAAATAACATATACATTCGTTCATTCTTATTCATGCTAAAAGTAAATATTAGACAGCTTGGAGGTAAAGCACATTTCTACTGTTACGAACAGGAACTGTCAAAAAATGTTAATATCCGAATCACGAGCGATTTGTTTGTATGAATCGGTTCATTTGAGTGAATCAGATTCGCAGGCGTTTTGAATCGCTTGCAGCACGTAAATGAATAAAACAAAAGCAGTGATCTAATAACAGTCAAACACTATACTTTGTCTAACTTAATCGGCAACATGACAAAACAAGCACAGTCACAAATATGTTAAAACCGTTACAAAGACAATAAAGGGGATAGTTGCCCTAAAAATAAAGATTTATCACCCTCAGCTAGTTTCAAACCTCTACAAGTTTCCTTTTTCTGCCGTGCTCAAAAGATATTTTTAAAATGTTAGAAACCTGTAACCATTGACTTCCATAGTTATAAAATCAAGTCAATGGTTACAGGTTTTTTAGTATGACTTCAAAAGAAACCGTCACAGTGAATCATCTGTTGAACCAATCCGCTCGAACGAATCGATTCGCTAAACGAATTCGATTCCCCAGTGCTGCTGAAGGGTAGGAGTGTTCTGCAGATGGATACTGTTAGATTTAGAGGGCATATCTCGACATGATGGTGGCGCTGTATGGGTGGTGCACTGCATACTTAGCAAAAAATCCCTTCGTCCGAATCATACTGAACACATTGCTGCTTTGTCATCCCCTCCACAAATGCACAGACAGTACAGTACTGGTTTATTCTATATTTGGTTATGTCCCATGGCTATCATGTGGCCAAATTAGATATGCATGTGACTGATTGGAAAATGTATTCAATATATTAAATAACTATAATCAAAACAATGTATAAAAAGATTTATTAAGAATATACACTGTAAATATATTAAATTATTATGTATTATATTTTTATTATTACATTTTAAGAAAGAAACCATGAAGATGACAGGAAAACATAGGCAATACATTAATAAATAAACCTATTTAGCATGTTTTTTTTCTTCATTATAACCACATGCTGTCTTGAGGTTTGTCGTTCAGATTGTTTTAAGCTCATAAGCAAAGACAGTCTTTGCATTTAACAGTCAGTAACAGTGTTTTCTTTATCATTTCAGGTCAACTTCCCAGATGTGGAGAAGGTTGAATGGCTAAACAAGGTATTTCAGCAGTCGTTTTGCTAATTTCATTAATGTAAATCAGCATGTTTTTCCTTGCATCTGCCCCTCATGTCACGACAGCTGTGTGTGTGTGTGTGTGTGTGTGTGTGTGTGTGTGTGTCTCACTCTACACGCCTGCTGAACAAAAGCTTTGCATGCTATTATTACTCATGCATTCTCAACCACACACTGGTGGTGCAACCAACATATGGTCCTTGCCTTTTAGTTACTGGATCAGTTGTGGTGGATGTTTTCCCAAGAAATTCAATCTTAATGTTCTTTTACACTTTTTAGCATATCATGCAAAAAAAAAAAAAAAAAAAAACATTGTACAAAGTGCTTTACAATTAAAAACACTCCAGTGATTAACAAAGCTATTTCTGTTTTTATTATTATTATTATTATTATTATTGTTATTATTATTATTAATGTTGTTATTATTATTATTATTATTATTATTATTATTATTATTATTAAAGTTAATTATTATTAGTATTATTAATAATAATATTTTTTTCTAGGATTTATTGGTGATAATGGTCAGGAATGTTTGACTATTATTGCCTTTTTAGCATAAGTATTGGACAGAAACTAGGCAGACAGTAATGTGTGATCTGTGGAGCGTGCTAAATCTAGAAAAACATCTGTATTTTATTTAGTAAGTGTACTTCTTTTGCTTTTATTCTTGCCATAGTAAAATATATTCGTAGAGCAAACTCATGTTCTCTTGGCATTAATATTTTAATAAACTTTAAAAGGTTAAACTGTCTGATATATGAACAAAAGCAAGTGATGCATCAAAGTTTGATTAAAAAAATCTTGAATTGTACTAAAAATCCTTTTAATCAATAAAACAATTTATCAAAGCAATAAAAATAGTTAGTTTTAAAATATTGTCTGATATTAATGACAGGACGTAGTTCCGGAAACTTCCTACTTTTGTTTATTTGTCTGATTTTACGGTGGGTTTCTTTTGAGGGCCCCCTTTCGTTTTAAAGAATATCACAATGACAAACGCGTCAAGTATAAAAGCCTTGTCCGTTTCATGAGGTGTGCGTGCAGTCTGCTGAGATGGGCTTTGCGGCGCCGGCGAAAGTATAAATCCAGCTTCAGAGTGTGTCCTTGTCTTCTGCTGCGTCAGATAAACAGCACAGTGACAGACAAAAAGGAAGCAGATCTCATAATAGTTGTGAGAAATACTACAGTAAGAACTTTCCCAATGATTATTTGATGTATTTGTTGTGGAGTTAATTTCTACAACAATGAGTGGCACACAATGTTGTTACAAGGCACACACACACTGTATTGTGAATTGACGTTGGACAAAGGAGTGCGGATCCAAACGCAGGTTTATAAAACAGTATGGTCAAGCAAGCAACAGTCGACATGGGAGCAAAGAGATGTATACGGGCAATATAGAGTCGTTGTCAATGCACAGGCAAATGGTCAAAAGGCAGGCAGCAGACAACGTAAACAAACAAACAAGGCGAGGATCAAAAACACAGCAAAGCAAGGCAAGGGAAACACGTCATAATGCTCACAGTGACAGTATAACAAGACTCAGCCTGATGTGTGTGTGCGGGCTGTATAAATAGTCCATGTAATCAGTCTTTGACAATCCTCCGGCTGTGTGTTTGCGATCAGGAACCGGTGTGAGTGTGTGGTGCATGACTGGATCTGTAGTCCATGTAACAGCGGGTTTGTAAATCGTTAGTGAACTGTGTGTTTACCAGCGGTCTGCACAGGCTGAATTGCTGGTGATCATGACACACACACACACACACACACACACACAGCGCACATGTTTAACTTTGAACTGTTTTTGCAGGGCAAATTTGACAGGATACAGGTTAATATCCGTTATGTTAATGTACAAAAATAAACCTGATTGAACGTCCACAAACCGGGATTTAAGCGTCTTCTTTTATAATTGTACAGATATGCGAATGCGGTGATAAATTACAGCGATTTTTACCATCTTTACTTCATTACAAACATGCACTGTTTCAAAAACGTTTTAAACTTGTTAAACTCATTCTCGAACACATTTAAAGATGACTGATGATCACAGAGAGCTGAACAGATATATTAATCCCAGCTGCTTTGCACATGTCCTGTGCTGTTAATATGATTATACGCTTTACTATAGAGACATGTTAATACGCTGCTGTCAATCAATTCAGTGGGCGGGGAAACCGCACTCTTACGTCATGTTGAGGTCATCCTCAAAATGGGAGGGATTTGGATCCTACTTTAACGTCAGAACATTTTAAAAAAGAGACTTGTTTTGTTTACATCACCCCAATATGACTGTGGATACGCTATAGATACACACAGTTTTGTCCAAAGAGCTTAAAAAAGAGGATTTTCATCATAGGTGCCCTTTTAATATGATAAATTGAATAACAAAAATGTAATTTAAAAAGTAAATAATTATATGAAATACACGTATGCAGATCACTTTCTTAGTAAAAAGGAACTCTCCTTGAAATTGACATTGTTTAGCATGAATTGTACAAAGATTACACAATTTTTTTCAAATGTTTTCATGTTGCACAATGAATCTTATCATATTTGCCTTCCTACAGTCTTTACAGCATTTGTACTTCTCCAGTTCAACCCATAGTTTCAATAGTCTGGCTAAAAGTGCTTCAGCATATCATTCCAGCGCAAATATTTAGCCCTGACGTTCTTTATCGGTGATTCACGAGGCAGACATTTTACTCTGGCGTTTGTCCCGGCCGAGTCTGAGTCACAAGCTATTTCTAAAATCTGTGGTTTACTCATGTAACGAAACAATCAGAGAAAAAAAACTCAGCAACTGGTGCTCGAGCTTCTGTTATGATCAGCTCATAACATCCGCAACAACTGGTCACCGTAGCAACCAAACAAACACAAATGACCCACTGTAAACAACTGTAAGCAGAGAGGATGAAAGTAAAGCGGGTCAGGTCACTAGTAATACACACACTGTGGCATTTACAGAAATACAAGTGTGTTATTATGAATATGTGGTGGTTTTGTTGTTTTGGTTGGCTTTTTGTTTTTGTACATGATACTGCACTGCATATTATAATCACTGATTAAAGATATCATTCATTATTAAGATTAAAATGATTAAAGTTTAATTTAATAAAGAATTACTGATGTATACTTTACAAAACAATGCATTTGTAGGGGTCTTTCATCAGAAAAGTGTGCTTAATTTAGTGTGTTAATGTTGCTTAAAGTCATGCAAAAAGTACTGTCAATGCAACAAATATTACTAGAGTATATTTTATAAGATCTTATCTCTCTACAAAAGAATGCTATGCTTAATAATTCGGTGTGTATTGTTTCTTTGTAATTATTTGAGAAATTGACTTACAAAATGTAGTGCAAACTATTTATATATCAACTTTTGTTCAGTTTTTTGTTAAAACCATAATATTTTTGGAGTGAGTAATACTAATAGTAATAATAACATAGTAAGAATTGTATAACATATTTTTAACAATAATTGCATTATTATATTAGATGTACACTTTTATAATAAAGTTATATCATTATATAACAATATTAATAATAAGTGTAATAAATTAATACAAATAAAAGTATGTGTAATTCAAAGTACTGGGTTTCTAGGAATTACGTTGATTCAATGAAGCTTTTATCAATTAAAGTACACATGAAATCAAAACCTACTATACTGATTTTGTTAGCTCGCATTGCAAGTTTTGTGGTGAACAATTCATCTGTGCATGTCATTAAGAGCAAAATTGTTTGCATCAAAGAGCATAGAATCACCAAGAGGCGACACTCTAGTGCGATTTGGGAAACAGCCACTAGATAGCGCGGCGGCCATTTTGGATTGAAAACTCCAATAGAACAACAGCATATTATAAGTCTGTAAAATAAACTATTAAAAGTGCTGATGATTGTGATAGTAAGTGTTGTATTGTCATCTTTCACGTTGTATCTCAGCTTTAAATTTAATTTTAAAAATAAATAAAAAACAAGGCAGCTGCTTGCCATCGCGACAGCAATAAGATCCAATGGACGGCCGACCGCTTTCACTCCAAAATGGCGGAATCTGGGGCTGTTGCTGGGCGCTGCTGTTGCAATGGAACGTTCTATTGAGTGTCACCTCTTGGTCATTCTAAGCTCTTTGGTTACATTCTTAGATTACGTTGGCTGAGGTATTGGGCCTGGTTAAGTATGTTATCGCGACAAACATGCCTTACGCCTTATTGCGCCGGGTGTATGATACAGGGCCTAATATGGTTGTAGGGAATAAACCTTGTCATTTAAAAAATAATTAAAGACGCTGCTAAAAAACAGCTTAAACCAGCCTAGGCTGGTTGGCTGGTTTTAGCTAGTTGACCAGGCTGGTTTTAGAGGGGTTTTGGCCATTTCCAGGCTGGTTTTCAGCCATTTCCAGCCTGGTATTAAATGGTCAGGCTGGAAAATGACCTGCTAAATCCAGCTAAAACCAGCTTGACCAGCCTGGTTTAAGCTGGACATAGATGGTTTTGGCTGGGCTCCCAGCCTGGCTAAGCTGCTCAAGCTGGTTTTAGCTGGTCATCTCCCAGCCTGACCACCTAAGACCAGGATAGAAACCAGCCTGGAAATGGCCCGAACCTCTCTAAAACCAGCCTGGTCAACCAGCTAAAACCAGCCAACCAGCCTAGGCTGGTTTAAGCAGTTTTTTTCAGTAGGGTAAACAAATAAATAAATATGTCATAAAATATTTTCCAAACCATGTCATTTAAAAACATAAATAAATAAATAATAAATAAATAAATAAATATTTTATTATAAATATTTCTAAATATATTTCATAGCTAATGGCTTTAATTAAATATATTCTATATAAAAAAGCTGCTAATATGGTGTTTAGATATATGACAGAGTATTTACTGCAGCTCTAAAACCATTAAATTATCATTACAATTGCAAATAAAAATTTAGCATAAATGGACAGTATTTTTGAGTATATAAAACATATCATAACCTATGAATTAACTAATATTGTGTGCGATATTTCTTTGGATACAAAAATCAGTCAAAACAAGATTGTAATAGTGCAGGATTGAAGTGATTCTCCTCAGGGATGAATTCATTACAGTTTGTAAAATATTTCATTGGTTAATTTGGTATTCTGAAAATTACTGTAAGCGAATTTCAAAACTATCTAGTAAAAGCCAGACTGCCTAACATAGATGTGGATTTAATCTCATTTTCAAAAACTGCATGACACACTCATCCTCTTTCTCTTTTTTTATGTATTAAAGGTTATCCACCAGGCCTGGCCATTTATTGGTCAGTATTTGGAGAAGCTGCTGACGGAGACCATTGCTCCGGCCATCCGTGGCTCCAGTGCTCATCTGCAGACCCTCAGCTTCACCAAGATAGACTTCGGTGGTAAGGTTAGTTATGAACACACTGACACAGTAAAATATTTCACATCTCAATCCAGCACAGTCAACTGAAGGAGATTGAAGGGATGGTTCATCCAAAAATGAACATTTACTCAGTATTTACACTCTCTGAATTGGTTATACAGTTGAGAAGCCCTCCCGCCATATATTAGCCCTCCTCAATATTTTTTCCCCCAGTTTCTGTTTAACAGAGAGAAGATTTTTTTCAACACATTTATAAAGATAATAGTTTTAATGACTCATTTCTAATAACTGATTTATTTTATCTTTGCCCTGATGACAGTAAATAATATTTTTCTAGATATTTTTCAAGATTGTAGTATTTAGCTTAAAGTGACATTTAAAGGGTTAACCAGGTTAATTAGGTAAGTTAGGGTTAATTATGCAAATCATTGTAAAGCGATGGTTTGTTCTGTAGACAAGAAAGAAAATTGCTAAGAAAAGGGGGCGAATAATATTGACCTTAAAGGTCTATGAAACCCCCCTCTTTCGGTTCAAGTGTACCTCAGAATTTTTTTAAAAAATGCATCATGATGGGCGTGGAGCTCTCTGAGCAGAGGGAGGAGTGTGCATGGCTGAGGGTGCAGGGGAAAAAGAGGGAAGCGAATAACTGTTGTCTGCTGGCTCACAAAATGAGACTCAAAACGTGAGGAGATCCATGATTTTATAGTTTACAAAGTTAAAATGCAAAGAAATAAACAGTATTTTAATGCCCTGCTACATTTGTTTTTCGTAATTTCATAAACACATAATCACAATTTCCATCATTATAAAGATAATCATGTTTATATAATGAATGAGGACTTCTCTTTTTCTGAATCCCCGGGTCTGAATGCAGACACAGTGGATAGCAGTGCAGCAGGTCTCTTGCCCTATCTATTCCAACCATTAGGAGATTGGGATGGAGATTTTAAACATAGGTGAACACGGCAGCACAGCTATAGGCGACGTGTTTGAATGGGAACGAACTTAACTGATAAAAGACAAAGTCCGCCATTCTCCAATGCTCTCCCGACAAAAATGCTTTGCTGCAAACCAACAGCTTTGCTGTATCGGCCCTGACAGCATCGGGAGGAAAAACATGCAACAAACCCTGTGGATCATGGAAACAAACACATACGACCCTTCATGAATGGCTAAATACTGCATGCTGTATGCTGAGTCCGTAAATGCAGTCTCACTCAGTCATTGGGTCTCACAGCTTGGCAGGTCTGCTTCGCCTTTCGGTAAGCACGTGCTCTCATGAATAATTAAGAAGCAGGATCTTCTCAAAAGATAAGAAAACTTAGCTATGAATAATAATGAGAAACCGACATATCATCATTGCACTAGCTGATTCGTGCTACGTCGCCGATTTTGATCCACCCCAAAATGGATCTAAAAACAGAAGATGAAATAAGCTGACAAAAGCTCCGAATTATCCAGTTTTCCCCACAATTAAAGCTGACAGCTGCTAACGTTGTCTTAAATGATGCTCAACACCCAATAAAAGCAAAAACTGCTTTTATTCTAGCTGAAATAAAACAAATAAGACGTTCTCCAGAAAAAAAATCTGAAATACTGTGAAAAATCCCTTGCTCTGTTAAACATTTGACAAATATTTGAAAAAGCCAAAAAAATAAAATAAAATAAAAAATCACAGGGCTAATCATTTTGACTTCAACTGTAAACCTTAATGAGTTTGTTTCTTCTGTTAAACATAAATGAATATAATACGTAGAATGCTTAAATCATTGACTTCCATACTATTTGTTTTCCTACTATGGAAGTCTATGGTTACAGGTTTTCAGCATTTTTCAAAATATCTTCTTTTATGTTCAACAAAAGAAAAAGACTCGATCAAGTAAACAATGACAGAATTTTCATTTCTGGGTGAACTGTCCCTTTAACAGAGGCTCAACTCCCATTAAAACATGTCTGAACAAGCGTTTGACAGAATAAACACTGCTGTGAGACTTCAGATGTTCTGGATAGGCACTCCTCTTGAGACCAGTTTTGATGTGCTTTTAAAAACATCACTGTGAAAATGTGTTTTAGCTTTGCTCTTTACCATACATTTGGTTTTTAAAATGAGTATCTATAAAATAAACGTTGATTACTGAGAGTTAATCAAAAATATTGGTAACACTTTAGAATAATGCTCCATTAGTCAATGTATTTACTAACATTCATGAAGATGAATAATCTTGTAAAGCATTTATTAATCATAGTTCAGCATTAACAAATGCTTTATTAAAATGCAAAGTTGTGCTTGTTTGCATTAGTTAATGCACTGTGAGTTAACATGAACTAAAGTAATTTAACCTAAATAACATTAACATGCATGAATAAACACCATAATAAATTGATTACTAATAGTTTTGTTTATTTTAGGTAATACATTATCTAACATTAACTAACAGACCATTGTTTTACAAGGTTGCCACATAATTAGCTTGTATAACATGTCAAATTAGGCGGCATAATGGCTCAGTGGTTAGCACTGTCACCTCACAGCAAGAAGGTCGCTGGTTTGAATCCCGGCTGGACCAGTTGGCATTTCTGTGTGGAGTTTGCATGTTCTCCCCATGTTCCCGTGGGTTTCCTCTGGGTGCTCTGGTCTCACCCACAGCCCAAAGACATGCGCTATAGGTGAATTGAATGAACTAAATTATCCGTAGTGTATGAGTGTGTGTGTGTGTGTGTGTTTTTGTAACATATCAGGAGACAAATCCGTATAATGACGTGGGTATGACACAGGTATTACAAAAAATATTGGTAACACTTTAGAATAATGCTCCATTAATCAATGTATTTACTAACATTCATGAAGATGAATAATCTTGTAAAGCATTTATTAATCATAGTTCAGCATTAACAAATGCTTTATTAAAATGCAAAGTTGTGCTTGTTTGCATAAGTTAATGCACTGTGAGTTAACATGAACTAAAGTAATTTAACTTAAATAACATTAACATGCGTGAATAAACACCATAACAAAATTTATTGCTAATAGTTTTGTTTATTTTAGTAAATACATTATCTAACATTAACTAATGGACCATTGTTTTACAGTGTTGCCACATAATTAGCTTGTATAACATGGCAAATTAGGCGGCATAATGGCTCAGTGGTTAGCACTGTCACCTCACAGCAAGAAGGTCGCTGGTTTGAATCCCGGCTGGACCAGTTGGCATTTCTGTGTGGAGTTTGCATGTTCTCCCCATGTTCCCGTGGGTTTCCTCTGGGTGCTCTGGTCTCACCCACAGCCCAAAGACATGCGCTATAGGTGAATTGAATGAACTAAATTATCCGTAGTGTGTGTGTACGTGTTTTTGTAACATATCAGGACACAAATCCGTATAATGACGTGGGTATGACACAGGTATTACAAAAGGAGGTGAAATATAAGGACATTGGTGATGTCCTCATTTTTCAAAAGGCTTATAAATCCTACAGAATGAGTTTAATCAGAGAGTAAAGCTGCACACAGTCTCCTGTAATGGTTGGGTTGAGGGGTTGGGTGGGTTGAGGGCAATACAATATATGGTTTGGACAGTATAAAATGAATGGAAACCTATGTAATGTCCCCACTTTTCACAAAAACAAACATGTGTGTGTTTGTGTGTGAGATAGTACTGGGTTGCGGCTGGAAGTGCATTCACTGCGTCAAACATATGCTGGAATAGTTATCGGTTCATTCCGCTGTGGTGACCCCTGATAAATAAGGGACAAAGCCAAATCATTTGATTTGTTTGCCTGTATGTCATGATTGTGTCCAATAGCTGATATCAGAGAACCATGACTGCAAATGTGTTGTCAAATTATTTCAGTACTTTAAAAAAAGATATCCGTGTTCATACTGTGTGATATTTACATTTAAGAAAATATTTTTAATAACAGCTCTGTTAAAGCTTTGTTTTGGTATCACATGCACAACGAAACAACTGTTTGCCAACTATTACAGCTCTTTACCTTTAGTTGCAACAGAAATATTCTCTATTTTTCAGCCAATGAAAGTGGTCGGCGTGAAGGCTCATACAGAAAACGATAAAGGTCAAATTCTGCTTGACGTTTACATCAGGTGAGGGCTGCATCTTTTTACACATTTGTGACTGATACTTATGTGACTTGCAATTCATTTGTGATTTTCTCTATAATGCATGAATTGTCTTTTGGGAGTGTTTTAAATAGCACTGTATAGTCAGTATTGTGTTCATATTTCACAAGCTGACCAGAAACGACTTAATTATGCACAATGTAGCACAATGATTAAAAGGGACCTATTATGCAAAAATCCCTTTTTTAAGCGCTTCAAACTCATTTGTGTGGCAGCAGTGTGTGAATATAAGCAGTCTCTAATGGTAAAAAATGATTCATTAGTCTGCAGAAATACTTTGGTTGACATTCTCCCTTTGTTCGTGTCATCAGAGGGGGGAAAGCCCCACCCATTAGTAACAATCTCTCCCTTATTAGCAAAAACAGCCCTGAGTTCGCAGCAGTCGTCTGCCATTTATGGGGCGTTCACACCGGAACGGATGATTTTTTACATGTTAGGTCAATGCAAAGACACAAAAAGACTTTTTTACGGTGCTATTCTTGCAGTGAGCATTTTATAATAATAAATAATAATCACTCGAGTTATAAAATCTAAACTTCAGAGGACATTCGCGCTGCGTTTATCAATCAGGAACTTGCTCTCGTAGGGGCATGATTATGTGCCTGTCGTTGGTGTCCCGAGGGGAAATCCTCCTGTTGACACTGGACAACAGCTCATCAAACTGGGCTCGGCTCAGTCGCAAGCCCTGCTGAAAGCCTCCATCATCCAGGTATAGTTTCTGGAGGAGTTGATGAACTCACAGAGCTGGGTGCACCTCTGAAAGGATCTAGTGGACTTAAGTAATGGTGCTGAATGAATCTACACTGTTTTTCAGCCTTCCTAAAGCACATAAAGCACAGCTACTCTCTCAATAAAATCTATGTTAGCCATTTAACAATGAAACTGGACTCACTGGACAGACAGAAGCCCTCCCTGTGACACAAAACTGTGTGTAGTGTGAAGTGAATTTGACGTGCGACTCATTTGAGTTGAAAAATCTGAACTTTAGCGGACATTCGCGCCACGTTAACCAATCAGGAGCTTGCTCTTATATGGGTGTTATTATAACGTATTGCCTATTGTTGGTGTCTCGACACGAAACCCTCCTGCCTGACAGCGGACAACATCTCATCAACCTGGGCTCGGCTCGGCTTCCATCATCAAGGTATAGCTTCTGGGTGCACCTCTGAAAGGATCTAGTGGACTCAAGACACGTTGCTGAACGAATCTACGCTGTTTTTGAGTTTTCCTAAAGCACATAAAGCACAGCTACTCTCTCAATAAAACCCATGTTAGCCATTTAGCAACAAAACTATAGTCACCGGACACAGAATCCCCGCCCATGACAGGAATCCGTGTCTTATGAGGTTGACGTGCAAATGATTCGAATTTGATGAGCGAATGAAGTAAGGTGAGGCAGTGGCGCAGTAGGTAGTGCTGTCGCTGGTTCGAACCTCGGCTCAGTTGGTGTTTCTGTGTGGAGTTTGCATGTTCTCCCTGTGTTCGCGTGGGTTTCCTTCGGGTGCTCCGGCTTTTCCCACAGTCCAAAGACATGCGGTACAGGTGAATTGGGTAGGCTAAATTGTCCAAAGTGTATGAGTGTGTGTGTGAATGTGTGTGTGGATATTTCCCAGAGATGGGTTGCGGCTGGAAGGGCATCCGCTGCATAAAAAACTTGCTGGATAAGTTGGCGGTTCATTCCGCTGTGGCGACCGCGGATTAATAAAGGGACTAAGCTGACAAGAAAATTAATGAATGAAGTGAGTAAACTCAATGTTCATGCATCTGTTTATGCGAAAAGAGCGTGATTTGTTCATGCAAGTCACGTCTAGTGTGAACACCCTATTAGAATTTTCACCTGCTGAAGAAAATGTCAGCTACTAAGAGGATTATAAACAGTGCTTAATTTTGAAATTAATGATAAATTCCTGGAACAAAACCAGGAAATAAAAGTTACAGTGACTGACGTCCACCAAACAGTTTTAGTTTTCCCAGAACATGACGTCATTAAACGGTTATAGAACAAAAAAAGAGCATCACATTTCTGAACGGTCTTTAATTATTTAGTGTCAACATCAACATTAATCGTATGAACAATCACTATTCAAAAGAATGAAATGACTCAGTCTAATGTTCAAGAAGGTCCCACAGTTACCACTTTTGTCATGTTTTCTGGCTGACTTGAGATCGCTTTGCTTCTGTCTCCTGCTATTCTGATCCATTCGTGCAGTTTCATTTTTTCAAGATCTCTTTGATCAGGCTTATTATCAGTTTACCGGTGGTTTTAAAAACTGAAAATATGCATGGCTGTCTCTTTGCCAATTTGAACATACAAATATTATTTAGGTTGGCCACTATGGACATCAGCAGACATCGACGTCGTTAGGAATAAATTACCGTAGAAGGCCAGTTTTCAAAATGATCTGCTGTTATATCTGATTTTTGTTAAACAGAAGACAGAAGCTCAGGTTTAGAACAAGTGAACGATGACAGAGGTTTCATTTTTAATTGATCTGTTTCTTTTAATATGTTTCATTAATTTGTGAAGAGTTAAAAACAGCCTAATGTTTCCTCTCCGCCAACTGTTCTCCAGTTCTGATCCATTCGTGCAGTTTCATTTTTTCAAGATCTCTTTGATCAGGCTTATTATCAGTTTACCGGTGGTTTTAAAAACTGAAAATATGCATGGCTGTCTCTTTGCCAATTTGAACATACAAATATTATTTAGGTTGGCCACTATGCCATTATTTTTTTTCACTGCTCACTGCACGCGAAACAACGATCACCAACCAATGAGAGTGATTGTAAACATAAGAGAGCCGATTGGCTGACAATATTGTTGAGGGCCAATACTTAAACGTGACTTTTGGTTTAACTTGCATAGACTACTTTCATGTGTGCGTGTGCAAGCACACACAAGCCACACCACACACCTTCACTTAATATTCACTTTCTCTCGCACTCACATACACATGTAGGTATTTACGATGCACAAGTTAATGCCAAATCTTTAAAATAAACACCAGAACGCAAAGCACAAATATCTGACATTTTTTGGTACAGTGTCCAGCAAGATCTGGCTCAAATTAAGCACTGATTATAAATGTTGGATGCACAACTGAACATCGTAATCTCTTTAGACTGCCTTCTTATGAGATGCTTCTTTTGACATATTCAGTCTTTCACAGAGATAACCTTTATCCTGTTTTGAATCTGCCATAAAGCTAAAGCATGGCTGTTTGTAGCTCCGCCCTCTTTTGAAATTTTTTATTTAAAGCGACAGTCACCAAATGGCACAACTTGAATCAAAGCCAAAAGTGGGCAGTTTCAAAGAGTCCTCAAACATTATTTATGTTTTATTTTGAGCTGAAATTTCACAGATACACTCTAGGGACATCAGAGACTTACACAAGACTTTACACACTTTACAAGACTCTACATCCTATAAAAAGGGACATAATAGGTCCCCTTCACGACCATTTAGGGCTGCTCGATTTTGGGAAAAATTATAATCACAATTATTTTGGGCATAATTGTAATCATGATTATTCCAAACGATTATTAGTTCTAGTCAAAATTATTGGCACTCCTGAGAATGTTTTTTTAAAATAAATATTTCCCAAATGCTTCTGACTGTCTGCGCGCCGCACACACATAAGCATGCGGTCTTTCGTGCTTATAAGAGCAACAAGTGAGGAGAACTGGAAAGGGGGCGGTAAATAATGGAATGGAATCTCGATTAATGGTTTTTCATAATCGTTAGAAGCCAAAATCGAAATCGGATTTTCGATTAATTGCACAAGCCCTACGACCATTGCAGTTTTTAAAGAAATAGTTCAACTAAAATTGAGAATGCACTCACTGTTTACTTACCATCAAATGCTTGCAAACGAGTTTCTTTTTCCTGTTAAACACAAAGGAAGAAATCTCAAGAATGTTGGACATCAGCAGACATCGACGTCGTTAGGAATAAATTACCGTAGAAGGCCAGTTTTCAAAATGATCTGCTGTTATATCTGATTTTTGTTAAACAGAAGACAGAAGCTCAGGTTTAGAACAAGTGAACGATGACAGAGGTTTCATTTTTAATTGATCTGTTTCTTTTAATATGTTTCATTAATTTGTGAAGAGTTAAAAACAGCCTAATGTTTCCTCTCCGCCAACTGTTCTCCAGTTATGTTGGGGATGTGGAGATAAACGTGGAGGTGAAGAGATACTTCTGCAAAGCTGGTGTGAAGGGAATACAGGTGAGAGTCTGCATTGCGGCAGCAGATCTGATATGCTGTTCCAGTGAGGAAATAAAATGTTCATCAGGAAATGTTTTATTACCCTTTTCTTAGCTTCATGGAATGATGCGTGTGATTTTGGAGCCGCTGATCAGCGACGTCCCAATAGTAGGAGCTGTGACCATGTTCTTCATCCAGAGACCTGTGAGTTTCTCTAAACGCAAGCTTCATGGTGAACAAAAATATTTTTAAATGGTTCTGTTAAATCAGGGGTGTCCAAACTGAGTCCTGAAGGGCCAGTGTCCTAGAGAGTTTATCTCCGACTTGCTTCAACACACCTGCCAGAAGGTTTCTGTTATATCTAGTAAGAGCTTGTTTAGCTGTTCAGGTGTGTTTGATTAGGGTTGGAGCTAAACTCTCCAAGACTCCAGCCCTCCAGACCCGAGTTTGGACATCCTTGTTTTAAATGGTGACATGGTGGCTTAGTAGTTATGCCTGTCACCTCACAGCAAAAAGTTGGCATTTCTGTGTGGAGTTTGCATGTTCCTCCCATGTTGGCATGGGTTTCCGCCTGGTGCTTCAGTTTCCCCCACATTCTAAATTGAATGAACTAAATTGGCCGTAGTGTATGGATGTGTGTGTGAATGTGACAGTGTATGGGTATTTCCCAGTACTGGGTTGAGGCTGAAAGGTTATCCGCTGTGTAAAGCATATGCTGGTTCATTCCACTGTGACGACCTCTGAACTAGAGAGCCAAAGGAAAACGATTGAATGAATGGTTCTGTTATTCTTTTTTCTCCATAGTTCATACTTCTTCTGATGCCTCCATAGTTGTTGAGTTGACTGTAGATCCCTAGTTAGAGTGGAAGTGGATTTCCCAAACTGGGATTTATTCAAATAAATATAAGCAAATTTTTTAAATAAACATCATTTTAAAAAATGTAATCACTAACTAAATTGAATACTAAATACTAAAAGTTCAGAAATGTTTTCACCAAGTTTTCACCATGTCAAAATTGTAATTTTGAGAGAGACTTAAAAAATCATTTGTCATTGTGGTGTAAAAGTCACACACATTTCAAATAATGTAAAGATTTAAATGATTAGTTTACCCAAAAATGAAAATTCTGGCATTTTTTACTCTCCCTTTACTTGTGTCAAACCTTTATGATTTTTTCTGATGATCACTAAAAAAAGTAATTCTAAAAGATGTTGGAAACTTCCATTCCATTTTCCCTTTTATGGAATTCAGTGGTTTACAAGTTTCTAACATTTTCTTACATCTTCTTTTGTGTTCAACAAATTTCTAAAGGTTTGGAACCATTTGAGGGTGAATAAATAGGACGTAAACTTAAACTTTACACTTTTGTTTTGTTCTGCAAATACTAATAATATTTCTTCTATACACTCACCAGCCACTTTATTAGGTACACCTTAGTAGTACCGGGTTGGACCTCCTTTTGCCTTCAGAGCTGTTTTAATCCCTCATGGCATAGATTGAACAAGTTACTGGAAACATTCCCTAGAGATTTTGCTCCATTTTGACATGATAGCATCACACAGTTGCTGCAGATTTGTCAGCTGCACATCCATGATGCCAATCTCTTGTTACACCACATCCCAAAAGCTGCTCTATTGGATTGATATCTAGTGACTGTGGAGGACATTTGAATCCAGTGAACTCATTGTCGTGTTCAAGAAACCAGTCTGAGATGATTCAAGCTTCATGACATGGTGTGTCATCCTGCTGGAAGTAGCCACAGTAATAGGTACACTGTGGTCATAAAGGGATGGACATGGTCAGCAACAATACTCAGGTAGGCTGTGGCATTGACACAATGCTCAAGTGGTACTAATGGGCCCAAAGTGTGCCAAGAAAATATCCCCCACACCATTACACCACCACCACCAGCCTGAACCATTGATACAAGGCTGGATGGATCTATGCTTTTATGTTGTTGATGCCAAATTCTGACCCTACCATCTGAATGTTGCAGCAGAAATCGAGACTCATCAGACCAGGCAATGTTTTTCCAATCTTCTGTTGTCTAATTTTTGTGAGCCTGTGCCAATTGCAGCCTCAGTTTTCTGTTCTTAGCTCACAGGAGTGGCACCCGGTGTGGTCTTCTGCTGCTGTAGCCCATCTGTCTCAAGGTTAGATATGTTGTGTGTTCAGAGATGCTTTTCTGCATACCTCTGTTGTAACAAGTGGTTATTTGAGTTACTGTTGCCTTTCTATCAGCTGAAACCAGTCTGGCCGTTCTCCTCTGGTCTCTGGCATCAACAATGCATTTGTGCCCACAGAACTGCCGCTCAATGAATAATTCCTCTTTTTCGGACCATTCCTTGTAAACTCTAAAAGATGTTTGTGCATGAAAATCCCAGTAGATCAGCAGTTTCTGAAATCAGTTTCAGATCAGCCCGTCTGGCACCAACAACCATGCCACGTTCAAAGTCACTTGAATCACCTTTCTTATCCATTCTGATGCTCAGTTTGAACTGCATTAGATTGTCTTGACCATGTCTACATGCCTAAACGTATTGAGTTGCTGCCATGTGATTAGCTGATTAGATATTTTCTTAAATGAGCTGTCGGACTGGTGTACCTAATAAAGTGGCCGGTGGCCCTGTGTATATTAAAATAAAAATGGCATTAATAAGAGTTGGTCAAAAATACAAAAAACAGACGTGTTCACTTTTAGATTAATCAATGGCACTTTTTTAACTTTAAAATTGTTAAAAGTCATCATTTGGTGGAATAGCCCTTACATATTCAGTAAGGTAAATTCATTTTTATTTTGAACGACTTCAAGGAATGTTACCAGATTGTTATTGAAGAACAAGTATGAACCATTTTACACAAATATACACCTGGTAAATCCATATAACTGAGCATTTTCACATGCTTATCACTGACTAGTATAACGTTAGTAGCCAAATCACAGTACTAGTTTTGTTAGAATTGTATTTTTTTATTATTTGTATCTTTATTTTTAGAAACTGACCATTAACTGGACCGGTCTGACCAACCTGCTGGACATTCCAGGACTCAAGTGAGTTTCAGTCATCAGAGATACACAAAAGCCGCATTATTCAGCTCAGTACACTCACTGTCCACTGAGCTTATTTGTAGTGTTTGTCTGTGTGGCTGAATCTGCTTTGTGCTTCTCCTCAGTGTGATGTCTGACACCATGATCATGGATGCGATTGCTTCATTCCTGGTGTTGCCCAATCGCCTGACAGTTCCTCTGGTGGCAGACCTGCCTGTGGCACAGCTGCGGTGCCCTTTGCCCAGGGTAACACACACACTCTCAGAGAGGCTTGTTTCTATATCCCAGTGAGGACTCACATAGACAGAATGATGTTTCTACTATAGAAACCATATATTCTGTCCCTCCACCCCTAAACCTAACTCTCACAGGAAACAATCAGCAATTTAAAATTTTCAAAATACTTAAAAGTTATTATTGGTATTTCTGACAACAGATATGGACTGCAAGACTTTTATGGTGACCTCTTATTTGATTTATGGAGTTGTCATTATTATTATTATGTAATGTGTTCTAACTGTATTGATCTTGCCATGAAAGAGCCATTAGCTGTGAATTTGCCAATAAATAAATAATCAGAAGAAAAAAAAACTTCCCATAGACGTGATAAATTTATTTTGCATAGTCTGTATATTTTGTCCTCCTATCCTAAACCTAATGCTCATAGAAAACAATCTGGAGTTTTACATTTTCGCAATACTTAATTCTGTATGGTTTACAAGCCATTTTCCTCATGGGGTTTAAATTCCTCAAATGGTTAAAATGTATTTGTATTGCTATTCTAGTGGGGACATTTGGTCCCTACTACATAATGAAAACAAGAAACGCACACACAGAGACCTTCATAGATGCCCATATACTTTACAATCTCCATACAATGACATAAACAGTGCTATGATACTAAGTGACATGCACACTATCTTTTTGTGTTTTGTATGCTTTAGAAAAGGCTTTAAGGTTTGTCAGTGCTTCATTTATCCGATTAGAAAGGTAGCAAAACATTGAAATTGTTTTGTAATGTAATCTACATTTGTAGATTACATTACAAGTAAGATACATTTTCAGCATCATCCGCCGTTAGTGTCACATACTCCTTCAGAAATCATTATAATATATTGATTTGGTTCCCAAGAATAATTTCTGATTATTATCAATGTTGAAAAAAGAGTCATGCTGCCACAATATTTGTTTAATCTTCATATTAATATAAGATTTCAAACAACAGGATTTACTCTTTATAAATATCTTTACTGTCACTTTTGATTAATTAAATGACTTTAAGTTTTCTTTCTTCTAAAAAAATTGTAAAATAAAAAACTTTCTGACCTTTCTTACACCATGATCATGGATGCGATTGCTTTATTGCTGATGTTGCCCAATCAGTGCCCAATCCTGGTGTTGCCCAATGCTATTGGTGTAGCCAATATCAGAGGTTTCAGTTGTAATGTGTAGATACAAATTCAGATGTTTGCATGCACATTTATTCATTTGACAGACATAAGCTTAACCCTTGTGCACTGTTCATATTTACAGTCTTTTGATATGTTCGGGATGAAAACATTTACTTAATTAAACTGCTGTAAAAATGTTTTTAGCAAGAAGTGATGCCTCTTGGTAATTCTATGCTCTTTGTATACACACGCACCCCATATAGCTCCTTTAAAAAATGCATTTGATAAAAAAACATAAAACTGAAATGGCTCTTTGCTGAAAAAAAGGTTCCTGACCTCTGATCTCTGGGCCTGTTCCATCACAAATACCAAAAGTTTAACAATTTATAAAAAAATGAATCACTTTCTGGCCATCGTATGTTAGACATGGACATATGTATTGTGATCGTGATTTTCGAAAGCATCACACCGCTTAGTCAACGTTTTCTATTACCATTTGATGAGCGTCCCCATACAGTTTGATAGAGTGATTTGACCCGGAAGCTGCTTCGCGTGATGTCACACTTAACAAATGCATAAAGTCCAGAAGCTAAGCTTGTTTTTGCATAGGCCTTTCTAAAGGGTTAATGATGCCAAATGATTAACAATACGAATTTGACCTCCTCCCAAGAGGGAAAACCACCAGCAAATAAAAATGCACAATTATATGGTGTCATGGTTTTGTAATAAAAAAAATGTTGTTATAATGGAAGTGAACGGGGCAAAAACAGCCACCAACCTAGCTAAATAAGGGAGAAACAAATTAAAATTAATCAAAAACAATGCATTAAAGGCAATGATGTTTCACATGTTCAAAAATTTGATAAAAGGTTAAAAAAACAGTTCACAATTACTTTTTATATTGAAAATGCGTCATTCCCCCCCCATCAAATCAGTAACTCAATTTAGGAATTTGGCAACTAAAAAGTTAAAATCCTAAAAAAATGATAACAGTACATTGGATGGAGGAAAGTTCTCCAAGGTGGCTCGGTGGATTCAGAGACTTACACAGGTCTATATAATGGAAAAAAATAACTGCATGTCTACAAATGAAGACAGAAAAGTATTATGAGATATTTAGATATGTATATTTAGAGGTTGCTTAACCTATCATCACTGTAATTGGATGTAACTACAATGCAACACAATGTAACTTGATGTACAAATGTATCTACTGTAAAATAATAATGATTGCAATACCTTTTATTTTTTATTATTTTATTTTAATAGATTTTTTTAAATATTATAATTTAATTATTATTATTTTTATTTTATGTATCCCCTCATGTAAAAAAATATATATTGTAAAATCTTTAAAAATAAGAATAAAAAGGTAAATTCTGTAATTTTCTAAGCAATTATATAGTTTTGTCAGGACTGAGGTTGATTAACAGATTTATGCAAAAAAATGTGAAAAAAAAGAATATGATGCATTTTTACAGCAGTTTAGGTCAGTGGATGTTTTCATCCCGAACATAACAAAAGGGTAGTACATTTGCCCAGAGTGTCTTGTTGAGTTTTTATACATCAAAGCAGTTTCTCAAAATATGTGTCAAAATAAAATGTGTCAACAAAAATCATTCACAAAAAAAGTTGTGGCCAAATTAAGACTCAAAATCACCCAAGAGTGGATGAAAACATCCTCAACAGCACATAAGGGTTAAAGCAACACAACTTTTGCATTGTTAGAGCCGTGCTTAGTTTTTGTTCTACATTTAAAGTGCAAGAAGAAATAGTCCTCTTATTTTAAAAGCAGAAGTAAACTAAGAGCATCTAAAGCATCACTTTACCAGTTAACATTAGATCTCTTCCCTTTTCTTGTTCAGGGAGTTGTGCGTATTCACCTGCTGGAGGCTGATAATCTAGCTGCGAAGGATAATTATGTAAAGGGTGTGATGGCCGGCATGTCTGACCCGTACGCCATTGTCCGAGTCGGACCACAAACCTTCAAATCCCATCACCTGGACAACACGCTCAGTCCCAAATGGGGTGAAGTGTATGAGGTGGGTGTTAAAATAATAATAAGACTTAAATTCAAGTGCCCCATCAGGCTATTTTAGACGTTCTCCTACAATGTTTACATCCATGCCAAGTCAAACAACATCAGCTCCTTTATTTTCTGAAATGGTTCAATGATCTGCTCTCTCTTAAGCATTTTTAATGCTTTATTACAAAATGTGCATAAAAATCGGTGAATGGAAACATAATTACTGACCAACAGCTTAAGAGAACATCTGAAAAGCATGATATGGGCACTTTAGGACTTATATTTGTGTTGATATATCAACATGTCTGTCTTTTGGTTCAAACCATTTCCGCCACATACTGTCTCTGTCTAGCCATGCAGTGTGTGTGTGTGTGTGTGTGTGGTGTGTTTTCAGTGTTTCATGCATGCATGTGTGTCTGTCAGGTTGTCGTTCATGAGGTGCCTGGTCAGGAGCTAGAGGTGGAAGTGTTTGATAAAGATCCCGATCATGATGATTTCCTGGGCAGGTATCACATCACTGCTTATCTTCTCACTTCATTCTGTCTGTCATTAATTATTATTAAGATTCAGTTTGATTATTATTATAAAGAGGTCATGTCTTTAGTTATTAACTTTTTTCCATAAAGTTAAAGGGATAGGTCACCCAAAAAAATGAAAATTCTGTCATCATGTACTCTCCCTTCCCTTGTTCCAGCCCTGTTTCATTCTTCTGTTAAATCCAAAAGAAGATATTATGAATAAAGAATAACCATTGACTTCTATAGTATTTATTTTCCTACCATGGAAGTTAATGGTTACAGGTTTGCAGCTTTCTTCTAAATATCTTTTTTTTAGTGTGTTCAGCAGAAATAAGGAACTCATAAAATTTTACAACCACTTGAGGGTGAGTAAACAGTGAGTCAGTGTTCATTTTGGGGTGAACTACCCCTTTTAAATTATACAGCTAGTAGAGGTTGCTTACTTTTACATTTCGATTGCTGAAAGATTCTGATTGGCTGCCGATGTTTTTGTTATTCATTAACTGGGAAGAATTGGTTTCAAGTACCTACATGAAAAAATTCTACAGTAATTTATAGTAAGCACAATAGTGTTTTGAACCATAATATAGTAAAGCGTATTATACCGTATATATTATAATATATGGGGTGGCTCAGTGGTTAGTACTGTTGCCTCCCAGCAAGAAGGTCACTGGTTCAAGTCCCAGCTGGGCCAGTGGGCATTTCTGTGTGGAGTTTGCATGTTCTCCCTTTGTTGGCGTTGGTTTTCTCTGGCTGCTCCCGTTTCCCCCACAGTCTAAACACATGTGGTATAGGTGAATTGGGTTAGCTAAGTTGTCCGTAGTGTATGAGTGTGAATGAGAGTTTATGGGTGTTTCCCAGTACGGAGTTGCAGCTAGAAGTATGCGTAAAACATATGCTGGATAAGTCGGTGGTTCATTCCACTGTGGCGACCCCTAATTAATAAAGGGACTAAGCCAGGGGTGTCAAACTCAATTTCTGGAGGGCCGAAGCCCTGCACAGTTTAGTTCCAACCCTGCTCCAACACACTTACCTGTAGGTTTCAAACAAGCCTGAAGGACTCAATTAGTTTGATCAGGTGTGTTTAATTAGGGTTGGAACTAAACTATGCAGAGCTGCGCCCCTTTTGGAACTGAGTTTGACACCTGTGGACTAAGCCGAATAGAAAATGAATAAATTAATGTAGTATACTAGTCTTTACTATAGTAATCTGGGATGTATTGTAGTGTAATATATCATTGTAAAAACAAAAAACTACAGTATTGTGTCATTTGTTCATATTACTATAGTAGTTGTATCAGCATAGCTACTATAAATTGCCATAACAGACTTATTTTAGTAATTTACTGTAGTATGGTTTCAAAATGCTATAGAAATAACTAATAAGTACTATAGTATTTTTAATGTCGGAGGTATGTTGTTCATATTGTGCCATTATTTTATAGTTGTGGTGTGAATACATTCGTTTTAAGCATTTTGTGCTTATCTTTATCGTCTTTGCATTGAGCAGCCTTTAGATCAAGTGGTCACACTTTATTTTGATGGTCCGTTCGTTGCATTTAAGTTACATTGCATCTACATGCCAACTGATTCTCATTTGATTATAAGTAGACTGTTAGGTTTGTGGTTAGGGTTAGTGTAAGTTGGCATGTACTTGCAAGGTTTCTTATAGTCAGTTAAATGTCTGTTTAGCAGCAGTATTAGCAGATATTAAGCAGACAGTGTACCAATACTTAAATGTACCATCAGGATAAACTGTTACCCATCAAGCGTTTTTATTTCAAGCAATTCTGAAACCTGTGCCTTATTCTGTATGATCTTGTTAATACACATCTGTTTCATCTTCTGTACATCAGTTATAATGTCTTACCATAAAATGTAAACTGTCATTACTGTAAACTCATGATTTGAGTTTGTTACCGCCTGCTGATCTCCCGCTGTTCTTGGATTGACTCTCTTTATTTGACTTGTGTTCAGGACTAAATTAGACTTGGGGATTGTGAAGAAATCTAAAATAGTTGATGAGGTGAGAAACTTTATTCATATTACCGCACACTGTTTCCTGTGATTTTACATCATTTGGTTTGCAAGCGCATGAATATGTTATATCATATATTTAGTATTATATATTTATTTATACTTTTAATTTTAAAAACTAATTATTTATTTATTTTATTCATGAATATACAGTATTTATTTATATATAGTACTTTATAAAATTTATATATAATATAAACACATGAAATGTATGTCAATAAAGCAATTTGCAATATTGGTCTGTTATGAAAATCACCAACTTTTGTTTTCAGATTTTCTCCCTATAGTTGCATGTGTCTGTTATTTATTATCACGGTGTTATTATTGCATAATTGAAATACAATAGAAACATTAATTGCAAAAACTTTTAATAATAATATATTATACTTATACTTTATAATAACATATGAAAACAAATATGAGAAATGTAGAGAATAAGGTGGCTCAGTGGTTGGCACTGTTGCCTCACAGCAAAAAGGTCGCTGGTTCAAACCCAGGCTGGGTCACTTGGCATTTCTGTGTCGAGTTTGTATGTTTGCGTGCTGGCGTGGGTTTCCTCAGGCTGGTCCGGTTTTCCCCACAAGTCCAAACACATGCATTATAGGTCAGGAGTGTCCTGGAGGGCCGGTGTCCTGCATATTTTAGTTCCAACCCCAATTAAACACACACTAACCAGCTAATCAGGCTCTTTAGATATACTACAAACTTCCAGGCAGGTGTGTTAAAGGAAATTGGAGCTAAACTGTGCAGGACACAGGCCCTCCAGGACTGAGTTTGGACACCCCTGGTATAGGGAAATTGAATTAACTAAATTGGCTGTAGTGTATGTGTGTGAATGAGAGTGTATGGGTGTTTCCCAGTGATGGGTTGCAGCTGAAAGGGCATCCGCTGTGTAAAACATATGTCGGAATAGTTGCCGGTTCATTCCGCTGTGGGGACCGCAGATAAACAAGGGACTAAGCCAAAAGAAAATGAATAAAAGAATGAATGTAGGAAATTACTTAAAGAAAAAAGGAAAATAAGCTGAAAATGCATAAATAAAGTAGTTTTCTCAATGGTATATAACAAATACTAAAACAGTATTGACATTGTACCACCCTTATTTCATAATAAAATAATTCCAGTGAAATAAAAGAACGTTAGTGCATTTACTAATAATAAATATCTTATAAATAGTTTGATTATCAACGTGAAATAAAACACAAACGTTATTGTCAGAATCATTTATTTTGTAGTAGTAAGCTGCTCATTTATTGAGAACATTGTCGTTTTTTTAACATGCAGTTTGCACCATCAGTCTCACAGATTTGCTCTCATTAGTGATTAAGTGCTGTGTTTGCTGTCTTGTTCTCAGTGGTTCAACCTGAAGGACACTCAAACAGGACGAGTTCACCTCAAACTGGAGTGGCTGACGCTTGAAACTCACACAGAAAGACTGAAAGAGGTCCTGCAACACTTCACACACATACACACACACACACACACACACACACACAGAGGGCATTGTTGGGAATGGGTGTTCCCTGTTCGCCAACCAGTGTGTTTGTCTGCTCCACCCTTCCAATCCCAGAAATCTTCTGGTGTTTTTTTTTTTTTTTTTAAAGAAGCTTGCTTTGCACACTTGACAAACAGAGCGACCGCAAACTATATTTCTTACAGTCAATTTGCTCCACCCCTCTTTGCCCTCATTTCTCTCTCTCTCTCTCTCTCTCTCTCTCTCTCTCTCTCTTCTTCAGGTTTTGAAGCGAAATGAAAGTGTGGTGAGTAAAGCTGCAGAGCCGCCCTCAGCCGCCATCTTGGCAGTGTATTTGGACAAGGCTGAGGCACTTCCTGTGAGTAATACTCCCACATCCTCTTCCTCACACACACACCAGATGCACGCAAACACACACACGCGACTGTGGTTTTAACACAGAAATGTCCCCTGAAGTATATTGTTACATCATTGAAATAAGATTATTATTAATATTATTATTTTTATGTTTTAAATGCGAGTAATCAAACAGGTTAAAGGTTAACGTATAAATAATTATATAAATATTGCTCTTATATTTGGCTTTATATAGAGGCAAAATATCATGCATTCATTTTTTTTCAGCTTAGTCGCTTTATTCATCAGGGGTCGCCACAGTGGAATGAACCGCCAACTTATTCAGCATATGTTTTATACAGCGGATGCCCTTTCAGCTACAACCCAGTACTATGAAACATCCATACACACTAATTCACACACATACACTACGGACAATTTAGTTTATTCAATTCACCTATACTTTCCCAGTGATGGCTGGAAGGACATCCCCTGCGTAAAACATGTCTAAAAATCAACATCTGAAAATCCTAAAAGCTTTTTTGTGAGGGTTAAGATTAGTAGATATAATATAAAATATCATAAATTCAGTAGAAACACAACAGTAGACAAAGGAAAGTCCCACCATGATAGAAAGAGAGAAAAAACAACCAATGTGCGTGTGCTTCTGGTTAGCCACAACCTGCCGTTTCCCTTTAGTGTTTGGCACAGACTGGCAGACGCTGCACTGCAACAGGGTGAAATGAGGACTGCAGTTTTGTCTAGAGATTGTATCAGATACGTCTGATCATATTCAGCTCATAACTTTGATAAAGCGCTTTGCGAAAGCACTCGGATGGATTCCCGTATCTAGAATATTTTACCAGAAGTATAAGAGCAGAGGGGTATGTTAAGAGCTGCGCGCTGACACTTAAAACTCTCTAGACAAGAACACACTTGAATTAAATGAACGTCCCAGAGGCCTCAAGCGCACACTGCTGTGGTCTGAGGGATTTACAAGGAATGTTCAGGGATTATTATATAACATGAGATAATAATTTAGATGCAATTCTTGGTTTAATTGTCAGAACTGGGTTAAGGGCAGTGCACACAATGAAACAAATGTGTACAAAGAAATCTGGCATGGATTGGCTCTTTTATGAAGTAGAAAAGATGCCTTACGACCAGTGTTGGCAACTTAGCAATTTTGTTGCTAGATTAAGCAACTTTTCATACAACACGGGCAACTTTTTTTTTTTAAAAAGCACCTAGCAACAAATATAGCAATTTTTAACATTCATTTGGCTGCTTTCAGCAATTTTTAAAAAGTGACACAAAAGAGCAGTGGCTGCAAGCTTCACTCAGAGTTGTTAGCTCAGATTGTTTTTCATAACTGTTAATTTACTGATATTTGTTAACATGTATAATTGTTGGTCATTTAGATAGCAATACATTCTAATAGTGCTATAATTGTGGTCACTTTCACAAATGTGTTAATTTCACAAGTTAAAAAGAGTAAGTACACAAGCTGTGATTGTTTAAAAGTATGCAACTGTTCGTTATCAGTGTAATACTTAAAAATAAAAGAAATTATCAAAAAACTTTTGTATTACTTTTACACAATGTCAACTCTATTTTGCATACAAATCTAAATGGACATATTTCAAATAATGTTTTTGCTGAGATGGCCGGTCAATTTGAGAAAACATTAATTATTTTGTATACTACATAAGGATGTAGTTTTGAGTTGCGATTACGCAATGACATCATCAAGCAAAGTAATATGTTAATAAGAACCTATTTATTGTGCATCTGGATGTAATGTTTTATCTATAAAATACTACAAGGTGCCTCAGAGAGTAGAGACATGACGGGCTTAAGCTTGTCAGATACTACAATATGACATCACTGATATGCAAATTAGTGCATGGCGTCATCTGGCGACATTTAGCTACTTTTCATAGGAAATAGTTGGCAACACTGATTACGACATGTACTGCTTTTGGCAGGGTCATTCATCAAAGTTAGCGGTGTATAAAGTACTTGAAAGATATACTAAAGTAAAAACTTTTTACTTTAGTAAAAGTTATAGTCACTGTTTAGAATATTACTTGAGTAAAAGTTTGAAAGTATCTGATATTTATTGTACAAATAGTATTGTTTGCTATTTATTGTACGGAAGTAATGGAAGTTAAATACAAGGAAATTCTGCAAATAAACTAAAAGCCTAATGGTGCATTCACACCAGACGCGGATGAAGCGATAATGTCAATGCAAAGATAAGAATAGACATTTGGCAACATTTTTCACGTGAATGTGAAAAGGCTCGAATGCCACAATTGCTGGAGTTGGAAAATCTGACTTTTAGCTTTCATTCCCGCCTCATTAACCAATCAGGAGCTTGCTCTCGTATGGGCGAAAGCACTGCTGAAAGATTCCATCATCCAGGTATAGTTTCTTGATGACTTGATAGACTCAACGCTGGGTGAACCTCTGAAAGGATCTAGTGGACACTGCGCAGAATGAACTTAAGCTGTTTTTCAGTCTTCTTAAATCACATAAAGCACAGCTAATCTCTCCATAAAAACCATGTTAGCCATTTAGCTATAAAACTAGAGTCACCGAGTAGACAAAGGCCCTGTCCATGTTCTAAATCTGCATCTATTGTGAAGTGAATTTCCTGTGCGAATTAAGCGAATTTTACGCTCGTATTGAGTGAGTAAACTCAAATTGTTCACGTGTCTATTTACGATTAATTTACGCAAGACGCGTCTGGTGTGAACATAAAAGCCGAAAAACCTGTTTTATACACTGTTGAGCAGCATGTTTGTGTTCAGTTTTAACTCCGTTTCATGCATTTTGTTTTTTATTGTAATTACAAAAGGCAAAATGGGTAGGTAAAATAATAATAATAATATAATAATTATAAAAATAATATAATAATGATAATAATAATAATAATTATTATTATTATTAGTAGTATTATTATTATAGTAATAACATTATAGTGATAATAACTATATAAATAATTATAAAAATTATAATAGTATAATGATAATAATAATAATTATAATAATAAAATAATAATAATATAATGATAATAATAACAACAATACAACAATAATAATATAATATTAAAATGAACAATAATAATATAGTAATAATAATAATAAAAGAAAATTTTGCATTTAAAAAATTAGAATGTTATAAAAAAGAAATGTAAATAAGTAAAAGTTACTTTTATTTGACATATTATTAGTTGATCAAAGTATCCTGAAAATACAGTTCCACAAAAACAACTTATGAACTGTGGTGATATCATTTTTCTATAGTTACCGCAGTAAACAAAGCAGCAGTAAACAAAAAATATTATTAATGATAATAGATATAGCCTGATCAGCATATTAGAATGATTCGAAAGCAATTAGAAAACTGTTATTTAAATTGTATTGTAAATTGTATTTATATATCATATATTGGATAATGTATATCCAGCCATTACTGCAAAATAAAGCAGTTGTTTTAAAAAATCAAAAGGCTTTTGTAATGAAGTTTACGGCCCTTTGGCCGCCGGGAAGAAGGAGGCGGAGAACCGACGGAGCTTTAAAATGATTTATTAATAATAATGACGGCAGCTCCTCACGGAGACTGCCATTTAAATCAAAACAAACGGACGGCAGCTCCTCGCGGAGACTGCCGTCAAACTGAAAGCAAAAGTAAAATAACATGCCCGGGCCCGGTCCTCTCTCGGCTTCCTCTGCCATCGGTCCTCCTTTTATGGTCCAGAGCTCCTTCCGTGGGATCCGAGGCAGGTGCGCACCGCACGTGTATCCACTCACGCGGTGGCCTCACCCCGTTCCCACGGCTCTCGGCCACGCCCCCTCGCCACATACCCCCATCTCCCATCACAGGCCGGGGCCACCCCGTGGCTGTGCATACTCCGGGGGGGGGTTTGGCGCCACAGCACCCGCGAGACCTATATGAGACGGGCCGAGAGAAAAGGAGATGGAAAAAAAAGGAGGAAAGACAGAGTAGACCGAGAAAGGGGAGAGAGGAAAAAGAAAAAAAAAAAAATTGGGGTTCGGTTCTCCAGACACGCTGCCACTCGGTCCTCCACCAGCTGAGAGATGCGACGACGTGCTGGGAGCCCTGTGGAGGAATCTATCCACCCGTCCGTCTTTTGGCGTCCGGCGGCGGTTCTCCTGGCTGGCTGGCGGCATTTCTGGTCTCCTGCTCCGCTCCCGTGGATGGATGCAGGCTCTGGCATCATGGCGGATCGCGGCGACTCCCCCGGGTTCTGTGGGATGGCTCCCTTCAGCTCTTTCCCTTCCGGTGGTGAGCCCCGCGTCCCCTGCTCCTCCCCATGCTGGGAGACGGCAGCAGGCAGATCCTTTCCTCGCCAGCCTCAGGCCGCCCCGGCACTCTGGGCAGACGAACGGGTTTCTCCCCCACTCGGGTTAACTCCCGAACACTCGCCCCCTCTCTCAGCGGCGAGGGCATCTGGACAACGCGTCCCTCCTTCTCCCGGGTTTCGGCACCACTGTAATGAAGTTTACGGCCCTTTGGCCGCCGGGAAGAAGGAGGCGGAGAACCGACGGAGCTTTAAAATGATTTATTAATAATAATGACGGCAGCTCCTCACGGAGACTGCCATTTAAATCAAAACAAACGGACGGCAGCTCCTCGCGGAGACTGCCGTCAAACTGAAAGCAAAAGTAAAATAACATGCCCGGGCCCGGTCCTCTCTCGGCTTCCTCTGCCATCGGTCCTCCTTTTATGGTCCAGAGCTCCTTCCGTGGGATCCGAGGCAGGTGCGCACCGCACGTGTATCCACTCACGCGGTGGCCTCACCCCGTTCCCAGGCTCTCGGCCACGCCCCCTCGCCACAGCTTTATTTTGTGAAAACAACCGTTTGGATAGGTATTATCCCACTTATTACATGGATACTTGCAACAAAATTAAACTATTAGATGCAACACATTGATCTGAGCTGTAAAATTTTACTAGCTCCCTAATTATGCATAAAGCTTACAGAAAGAAATATGTCTGTAATGGCTAAGTGCAGCCCATACATGAATTTTTAATTAGTCACAAGAGGTTATAGTACAGTCTAGAAGCACAGTGATAGATAAGCATGTATAAAACAGGTATATTAACTAACGGCCAAGATACTAAAGAAATTACCAGGATGAGCCTGTTTTATATGTTTAACTGGTTGTTATCTGGGTATAACATACTTTGGAATGTAGTGATTGACCAATCAGAGTCAAGTATTCCAGAGATTGACCAATCAAAGTCAAGTACTCCAGAGAATCGTGTAATAAACATACAATATTTATCTAAATGACTCTTTTTGCTATATTTTTTTTGCAGAGACTTGTCAAGAAATCTAACCATATTATTGATAAAGTGTAACAGTAACTGTCATGTTTATCCTTTTATTCTTGGGACCCATTTTCTCTGTTTTCAGATGAAGAAAGGCAATAAGGATCCCAATCCGATAGTTCAAATCTCAGTGCAAAATGCTACTCGTGACAGCCGGGTGAGACACACGTTTACCATCTGTGCCAACCAAACATTCCCATTTCACCTGTTTTTATATGTATACTATATGTCTACCATGATTTCCTCATAGATTTGCTGGAATACTGTAAATCCCCAGTGGGAGGACGCTTTTACTTTCTTCATCAGAGATCCAAACAATCAGGACATTAGTGTACAGGTATGCCCTTATTTTGTGTGTGTGAGTATGTGTTTGTGTTTTTCAGATATTACCAGTGGTGTAAAGTAACAAATTACAAATACTCGAGCTACTGTAATTGGGTAGTTTTTCTCAGGGATTGTAATTTACTAAGTAGTTTTAGAAACGTGTACTTTTACTTACTACATTTTTAGTGCTGTATTGGTACTACTTTCCTTTAACCTGCAGTCACTACTTTATTCTTTCTTGTCTATAAGTATTAGAAAAATCAGTCCTGTGATTCCTGTCCAATCAAATCGCACACAGAAGGTAAATCACATCATAATGAACTACCTCAAGACATGGGCACTTTATAATTGCTGCAAACTGTTTGGAAGCATTAAAAGTGTCCAAGAAGATGTCCAAAATGTTAACAAGCAATGACCCAGAGACTGTTTAGACAAAGCGGCAACCTCCTGCTCTCCCTCGGGAGGCCAATACGGAAGTATCTGAAACTGCAATTCATCGAAAATCGGCTAGTCCTGGCTCCATAATAGAGCAAATTTCAATTGAGCCCACTGTTAGAATGGCCAACTTTACAGCAGAAAAAAAGCTGTTTACAGCCTGGTACAAAGAACAACTTTGGTTCATAAAGCTAATGTTACCCTTCATGACAACTGTGAGGGGGGTGAATTTTTTTATAACTCATCAGTTTCCTTTATATTGGGTTATATTAAGTTTGCATAATTAAGGGCGTGGCCACTTGAGTGACAGCTAGGTCTCACTGGTCGCTGTCACTTCACCTTAGCTGACTCTGGCAGATTAGCTGCTGATTTCGGCATATTCATCATACTTTTGTCTTGTTTTATGTGTCTTTACACAGTCAGTTGCCTTTTGGGATTATTTCCTACAATAGCCCCTTTCACACATACAGACCTTTCCGGAAAATTACCGGCAATTTTCCGGAAAGGTTGTATGTGTGAACAGGTCCTTTTTGAAAATACCGGTAAATTCGTTCTAGCTATTTTCCGGAAAGAGAGTTGTAACATTACCGGCAATTTGCCGGAATGCTGCGCTGTGTGAATGCAGAAGGAAGATTACCGTAATAAGCACGTGCACGTCTAGAACGTGCTGACGTGAGACGTCTGCTTTAGCCAATCACAACAGTCAGACGCATTTACGTCCGCGCGGTTTATGAGAATAAAAGCCTTTGAATATTTTTCCAGACACATTTAGCTGCTAGAAGTTAGTCAGATAATGTTTATATGTTCTTCTTAATGCCAACTGTGTAAATAATCATCGATGAGATGCTTATGATAAGCCGTTGTTTGTTTACCTTCAAGCTTTGCATGTGCCTGTGAAACAGCCTGTGTGCGCCTGCACACGCACATACAATGAACATCTCGACATGCGAAAGTGATCCTGCGAAAGTTGTTCACAATATTGATCATCCACAGAGTTTGTAATTTAGTCAAATGTTTACAAATACAAGCGCAGCCGTTTAAAGCTCATTTGTGGTGAATGATGTCAGAATTTACCGGTATTTTGGAATGGATGTGTGAATGCTCTTTTCCGGAAAATTTCTGTAACTTCCTCGCCTGTGTGAACAGCGCTTTTTTAAATATACCGGTAAAGTCGTTCCGGAAATTTTCCAGATATTTACCGGTATCACTGTGTGAAAGGGGCTATAAATCAGATGATATGAGATGCTGTCTGCACTTAATTGTGCTCACAAACCATTCACGTGGCCTCTGTTTCCCATGTTAGTAAAGTTATATACTTGTAAACCATCTCTATACATGTATTTGTTTTATTTAAGATCATGTATCATTTATAACGTTGTTTAGAGCTGTAATGCACTCCAGAATCTGACAGATTGATGAGATGTGGACTGTAGAATGGTCATCTGAAGTGTTATCATACAGTGTTATGCTGGATTTCATCAATAGTCTTGCATTTACTAACACAGACTATATCTGAAGTGTTTGGAAGTCATTTGCGTTTTCCTCCTATTGAAAAACATCATAAGAACAATACTTAGTGGCTCAATGTATTACAGCAGTGTTTTTAAAAGTCTAAACACTTTATTGATACAGTGTACAGCCAAGCACATGTGGTCAGAATACAAACGAGTCGCAGGTGATAAAGTATTAAGCGTTTTCCCAAAGTAAAGTGTGTCTGAACTAGGTCCAAGCAAAATGCCAGCAGGTGTCTGTAGCTCCGCTCACTCTCCGCCTCTTTGCCCTTGTTTGGTATTCCACCGTGAGTGTGATGACGCACGAACAAAATGGCGACGGTTGGCCACGCCTACTTGTGGCTTTTTTTGGGCTGTTCAGAAACCTATGGGTGACGTCACGGATACTACGTCCAAATATTTTACAGTCTATTGTTAAGACGCATGTCTCTGATGAGAAGATGACTGATGTTTATTGAATGATGACCAATCTGGCTTTAAACAACCAGCAGGCACAAGACGTTAACACAACATTAGATTGACGTTGTACCTCAACATCATGGGGGGATTGCTTTTTGTTTGGAAATTAAAATTGTATTGACGTCAGAACTCAATGTCAGGCCAACATTAATGTCCAGCATCCAACCTAAAATCAACCAAATATTAATGTCTAATGATGTTGCAGCTTGACGATGTGTGGACGTTACCACTATGACATCTATCGGATGTTGGATTTTGGTTGCCATAACTGAGGAATAAATGTCAGTATTTGACGTCAATGATGCTGGTTTAAGATGACTCGAAGTTGGATTTTGGTCACTGTCCATCACAAACTACAACCAACCAAATATCAACGTCATTTGACGTCGTTATTGGACATCATAATAACGTTGTATTTAGATGCTGGCTAGACATTGAATTTTGGTCACCTGACATCACAACCTAAATGTAACCTTAATGTTAATGTCTTATGATGTTGTGTGCCTGCTGGGCAATAACTAAATGCACTACAGAATGTTACGTTTACACACATCCACAAATGACATGTAAAGGCATCAGCTTTTCACAGCGTAATACTCACTACTCTTGAGTACTTTTGAAAGATCTACTTTTTACTCATGTTGTAATATTTACAACAGATACTTTTACTCTACCTGCACTACATTTTTAGGCAAGTAATGGTACTAAAGTGCGACGCAGTGGCGCAGTGGGTAGCACGTCGGCCTCACAGTAAGAAGGTCGCTGGTTCGAGCCTCGGCTCAGTTGGCGTTTCTGTGTGGAGTTTGCATGTTCTCCCTGCGTTCACGTGGGTTTCCTCCGGGTGCTCCGGTTTCCCCCACAGTCCAAAGACATGCGGTACAGGTGAATTAGGTAGGCTAAATTGTCCGTAGTGTATGAGTGTGTGTGTGAATGTTTCCAAGAGATGGCTTGTGGCTGGAAGGGCATCCGCTGCGTAAAAACTTGCTGGATAAGTTGGTGGTTCATTTGGGTGCGTGTTTAAACACGTATATACACATAATTAATTATAATAACATCTAAAGATGTCGGTCTTGGCATTTTTTTTTTTCATTCATTCATTTATTAATTTTCTTTTTGGCTTAGTCCCTTTATTATTCTGGGGTCGCCACTTTGGAATGAACCGCCAACTTATCCAGCATATATTTTACGTAGCAGATGTCCTTACAGCTGCAACCCATCACTGGGAAACATCCATACACACTCATTCACACACATTACTGACAATTGCACTCACCCAATTCACCTGTACTGCATGTCTTTGGACTTGTGGGGGAAAACCGGAGCACCCGGAGGAAACCCCCGCGGACACTGGGAGAACATGCAAACTCCACACAGAAACGCCAACTGACCCAGGCGAGGCTCGAACCAGAGACCTTCTTGCTGTAAGGCAACAGCTCCACCTACTGCGCCACCGTGCAGCCCAAGTTTTTTTCAAACACAACTAGTTTTGTCCTAAATGAGCTTATAAAAGTTGATTCGAATGCCTTCATTATAACGTTAGATGTGTGCATTTTTAAAGTGACTCCTCTGTTATTTAATGTAATCAAAATATAAATAAGTGAGAGATTCATTTGCTGCTCAGAATGTGAAAGTTATACAGTGCAGAAAAGATGAATGAGATTTGAAAACTTGATTCTATTTCTTTATGACAGCTATTCATTTTAATAAGCTGAACTGTTTGCTCATTTATTTTCTAATGTATACTATTTTATTTTTCTTTTGTCAATAATAATAATAATAAAACATATTACTGACCGTTTATTTACAATGAAACAGCTCCAGATGAACATATTTAGTAATTTGGGGATTTTTTTTCCAGGGGTTGGGGGATATTATGGTGGGCATATCTCTTTTTTTCACATCCCAATGTTGACAAAGGACAGCATCCAGAATCTCTCTCCATGGGGTGCACAGCTTGTGATTTTCAGCCAATGGGAAACTTCCGATGAAAGGTTCAATGTGACTTTTAAATTGAAGTGACTTTCAATTTTATAAGGTTTATTTTACAGCATTAATGTTGTAATGGATTTAACACATTCTGTTAAATAGATTTAAGCATTCATTTAGTTGTTCAAGCCTAAAACGAGATGAAAGACCAAAATCAATGCTAAAAGTTTGGAAATAAAAAGCTTGTTGAATAGCACAAGCTGAAAAAATTAATACACTGAATTGACAACTGTTTGCATTTTAATGACTTGATTTGTCAGGGTTTGTATTTTTAGGGTATGAAATTTACATAGCTGTTTATTTAAGTTTAGAATATTTCAAACACGTTTTTAAACTTAAAAATTCAATAATTCATATTCAGTTTTCAGATTTCATGTATAAAATTCAAAAGGCAGTTTTCAGTTCATTTTATTTCAGTTCAAAAATTCGCTTCCATAAATTCAGTCGTTCAAATTTGGCTGTTAAAATTTGACATTGCATCCGTGAGCTGCAGGAAATATCCTAATTTTACACATAAATATTTTATTACTTATAATGTCCAAGACATCTATGTAAATAATAAATGCTACTTTTGTGCCATTATTAGCTTTTTCCTCACCTATTTACTGGTTTAAAAACCTTA